GCCGGGGCAACTGATTCTGTGACCGGAACACCAGCAGCAGAAATTCCTGATCAAAATCTGACTCTCACCCGGGAGTTGACCCAGGAGACATCTGTTCACGGTAGCAGCCTTCCAGAAACGATTACACCTGACGCATCAGTACAGCCAAGCACTGGCGGCTCCGGTGATACCGAGATGGTTGAAGCAGACTCAGCGGCCGGGCCAGACCCAACAGACGATCATGCTCAAATCGACTCTGCTCAGACAAAGGCTGATGTTAACGATCATGCCCCCAAGGACAAAATCATGATTTCCCATTCCGTCCAGACAGGTACCTTGGTCGGTCAAGAAGGCGTAATATCCTCTTTACGAAGGGTACTTGATGATGTCAAATCAACCACCCTGAATCTATCTGCCCTGAAAGAGATCGACGATCTCCTATTCGATATTCGGGTGGAAATGCACGAAGCACTGAGAAGACATGCAGGGTAATTTCTTAATTGCATAGCGCTGGCGTTTCATTTATATCTTTTTGTATCTACTATCCTCCTTTCTTTTCCTGTTTTGGCAATAGTTGTTTTGGGAAAGCCGCTTCTACAACGTTTCTCTAGCCTGTTTTGCAGGTTGGTCTGTCTAAGTGTGGCCTTTCAGGGATTGGGGGCAAACGGGTGTGTAGTATAAATAGAATCTCTTTCATTTCTCTGTTCAGGCAAGTGATCGTTCAATGTATAGAGGTCCGGACGATGTAGATGGAGTTCGACACCTTGTCTAGCATCGGTGTTGCGCATACCTATGTTATCCTCGATTGGGGTAAACAGGACATTATACACACTATGTTCCACCTTTGATACCTTACATCGCCAACTTCGCAGCGACCCAGCCACAAATAGCCCCTTGGAAATACAGAACAGAGGTTTCCGACACTAGTCTACTCTCGAGCTAGAACAACATATACAGCAACTGTCTCCATGCCACCACGCCTGGGCATAAACTTGGCAAGATTCTGTGGCATGACTCCGCCACGGTATAACCTCCTTCCCAAGAGCCATCGATAAGGAGGCAGTTCTCCCTATGAGAGATCTGCGGAATCCTGGGATGATTTGTTGGACGCGTCGTCCTTGGTAGCTCACTCCCATTCGTGCGTGATGCCTCCCGTGACAGGTGACATGGCTGATCCCAGAGTTGAACGTGGCTTAGCCGCCAGTCTGTGCGATAGGACTGTTGGAGGATCGCTCCCGCTGGTCAGCGTGGCCAGGCTGGCGTAGTCTGCACATGTAGACGCTGAAACCTTCTTTCTTGTCCTTGGGATCACGCTGCGGGGTTGGCTCTTGGCCATTAGGATGTTGACTTGCTTGAATAGTCCAGGAACTCCTAAGTCTGCAGTCTCGAGGTCAAAGGGTGACACTAATATTTCCTTCACGTAGCATTTGCTTTTCATACTGTGGTAGTAAAGATAACCTAGCCCAGTTCAATGATACCTCTCGTCATCTGGGATGGCTGATCACTCAGTCGAGTCCTCGACCTCGACCTCGTCTGCAACGCCTCTGGGATATATTGCGCCTCCGATCGTCGTGTTTTTATTCCTCCTTGTCTGGTCCGTCTGATGTCATCTATCTTGTTGTGATGTGTGTTGATAAATCTATTAATTCAAATTAGGGCAGTTATCACCATAAGATATCGGATCCACAGAAGGGAGCGAGAAACAAGGCGCCTCTACTTCCTGGGAAGAACAATACTCGCTGATATCGATATCGATAAACGGTTCCCGCTTGTCAAACTCAGTATCTGGAGGATACTGCACCGTGTAGAGCAAGCCCTTGGAGCAGAGAGCGATGCCCCGGATCCCAGCCTATGTTCTATTTGCATGGAACAGCTCAGGGATGATGAGGATGTCCGGCCGCTTCCTTGCGAGCACATTTTTCATCCCGCGTGTGTGGATCCGTGGCTGACGAGATATCACACCTCGTGCCCTTTGTGCAGAGTCAGCTTGGTAGAAGATGATGGGAAGTTGGATCTGGAGGATGGGAGGCGGCCTCGGTTCTTGAGTATGCCTGTGCCTCCTGAACCGGTGTTGATCAGTTTTGCAGGACGATTTGGGTGAAGTTCTCATGTAAAGTAGGTGCTCAGTCTTTCTTCTCTCTTTGTCTAATTTCATGTGTCATGTAATTGCGGTTTAGTTAGCAGGAGATTGGTCTATTCGAGGGATCGCGACAGGCCAAACAGGGATGAGTCTTCTGGACTAGCTTGGTTGATTCGGGGAGTTAAATGGTGTATTCAGTTATTCTACCGCTACTCACGATTAACTCAAATTAAAGTCATTAGATTTTCAGGATTAAACCCTCCATTCACCGGTCTGATAGGCTATTCGTCCTGGTGAACCCGATCTAGAGTGTGATTCCGATGTATTGTTATCCTTGACCGCTCCAGCTTCAAGATCAATTTGCACACGGCCCTTTTTCGTACATTCTTGTTGATAGTCCCATTCGTCTAAGTCTATTCCCTGGAGCTCTGCGGAGTTCTCCACGTGTTCACAGGATGGTTTGGCGATTGCCTCCTTGCTTGCTTCTCGTCCGTCCAGTCTGACGGACGGCATAAGCTCTTTGATAGCCCGTCGATATCCGGATCCTTTGATCTTGAGGGCTCGGCTTAGAGAAAACGAAGGTCGCGACTGTGAGCCTGAAGATTCCTTGCCGGCCTGAGCACCCTGCTGTCGATACTGCCTGCTTCCGTATAAGAATGCTTTCAGGCCGAATAGCTTGCGGAGCAGTGGCCATAAGCACATCAAGTTCGCCACATATATCGCTGTGCTGGCCTCCCGAATGTACCAAATCTGATAAATCGTGGTCAAGGGTGAGGCGAAGTTGAACACTTTGTTCAGAATTGCCGCCACAATGGTGAATACGCCGAGGCTCATGATGCAGATAAGCAGCAGCTTTTTTCTCATCTTCATCTGTGCTTTAATGAGTAGCGGGACCGGGACCGCTAGCATGGCTGCATCCGACGATATGTTGAAGACTGCCTGGGTGATGGAGTAGTTCTGGTAGGTCGCGCATTGCAGATCCTTGACAGGCATGGCCCAGTACTGGGAGAATGGTCTGCAGTAGACACCATAATACGTGACCATAATGACGACGAATCCAACCGCAACATAGACCGCGATGATCTTGACATAGAGATGTAATCGGAGGTTCTTGGTTAACCGCCAGAACAGGGTCAACATGCAGATCTTGACTCCCCAGGTCGAGAACAGCATGCACTGCTCCAATCCAATGACGATCTTACTACCAATGATCCGGTCTTTGACTTCTTGAGGATTGGCTAGAACTTTGTCGTAGTCGGCTGGGTCCATCAGGTTCGTTGCATAACGGGCAGATATTTGGATCAGAACTAGTAGAGTCGTATAGATCAACTAGGATGGGATCATTGACATGTCAGCCGTTTCCGATTGAGGGCGAGCAGACAGTAGACACCCACAAATGTTGCACTCATGACATAGTCATCAACTGTTACACCAGTTCCTGTTAGTAGCTGTCATACAGGTTGGCGCAAACCTACCGGAACATACAGTATAAGCGCTTGACCGATCCATTTGAGATAACACGAGATATCCTTCTCCTGATCAGTCCTTTACTGTCTCTCAAAGGCGTCTCAATGCACGTACATTCTACCGACGTAGAGGACAATCGCAATGCTCCAGAAAATGACAGACTCCGTGAGCAGCTGCTGTGGAGTGGGTGACACGTTCCCCATCGTGGCAATGGAGCGCAACAGATGGGCAATCAGACAATGAGTGCTATTGCTCATCCGAAGCGAACAGCTTCAGTTCGTATGCAATGTCAAGGTTGCATCACCGTTTACTGGTTTAAAAGATCGAGATCGAGCTCTATCAGCCAGTTCACTATGAGCCATGATGTCTCCGGTATATCAAATGGTCCGCGTATCCAAACATTGATTGACCGCATTATCATCCTGAATTTTTGTGTCAGACCTGAAACGATACAGCACGCAATCCCTCATTTGTTGCATGTCGTAATTTGTCAGACTCCAGACGCAGATGAAGCAAGGGAAGAAAGGGAGGGAAGGGAGAGTTCAACGCAAGGGACGCTGGGACCACAGGTCGTAAGGACCATTGGCTACATTTACGCTCAGAGAAACATCCAGTGTCCAGCAACACTGTTTGAGTGCATTCTTACGCATCAAAGAATGCTTGAATGTATCCCAACTCCGGCCACTCGAGCGGGGACTCCGAACAGGATGACAGGCTGGGGAGCACGAGCAACAAAATTGTATGACCCACTGTTGTCGTTCCACTCGAATCATGTTTGAGTATTTATCTTTGAGCCCTTATTTCCCTTGCACATCCAACCAAGGTCTTCTCAAGTGAGGGAGGTGGTTGAATGCCATCACATGTGTTTGCCGTGTTAAGCGCAGCCAAGGCCACTTCGACAAACATCTGCATAGTTCCCCATTAAGCGTCTGTAAGCGAGCTTTCCTCCCTAGGTTGATCTCCTCTGAAACCAAGGGTATTCGAGGATCCAATTTCGCATGTAAGGAGAAGGTCTCCGGCACTGCAACATCTCGGAGACGTATTTGTGCCCAGGCTCGAACAGGGTTCGCTTGTCCTTACGGCTTGCGCAAGACGTCCAGGGTCAGCTTAATGGCAATCTTAAATCAAATAGGGCGCGCGGTAGCCCTCGAGGTGTGTTCAGACGCTCAGTGGTAAGCTATTCCACGCTTTGCTTTCCTGGCAGGTGCTCACACTGCTCACCCAGTGATGCACAATAGCCGTGTTTGTGATCGGTTTAGATCAAACTTCTTCAATCATCCTCAGTCCAATTGTCCAAATAGCGGTCAGACATTGATTGGAGCCATTCATACATGTCTCGTACCAGCCAAAGCATTCTCCAATATGTAAGGCTTCAGTGCCGAATTCAATCTCGTTAAAGGCATATCCCTCCGCAAGTTGTTCAAGAGAAGAGGGCAAATAACCGACACGGAAGAACCATGTACATATCCCCAGAATGGCTTCAGAGACTCATTTTTTGCAAGTCGCAAGTAGTGAGGCTCCGGGAGAGAGGAGAACCGCAAGCCAGGATTTCCAGCCACCTCTTCTGGAATGCTTTTCCCTCCGAGAACCACGCGTATGTTTAGCAAGTGGAGAAGTCCGGAACAGCGCCTCCGAACACCTCGCTCCAGCGTAGATCTATGGCCGTACGAGACTTTAAGTGCCTGTAGCTAAATTCAATTCAGAGGTTGAAGGTCATCTTCGCTTCGTGGGCTTTGTGGCTGCCCAGATGGACAATTACAAACGCTTCCTCGTGTTGAAGCAGACATCACTTTCCAAGAGCGCTGGGCCTGCCTGGTGTTCTGAGGCTGTGGGCTTCTAGGGTTGTGACAAAGAGGAATAAAAGTAGTTAACACGGAAACAGCAGATAATGATCGTCCTGTGGAGTAAAAGAAACAATTGATAGGTCTCATCATTCATTCACGTGTTCCCGATTATAGTATCAAACTGCGTACCTACAGTCACTCTACACGTTAGTAGCTGTCATCGACAATGTCGCAGCTGAATGAAAACATCTCAACTCATTTGATGTTCAGAGGCTGACCTATTCGAGTGGGAGAATTGAGTCCGAGTCTATCCCGTGAGCCTTGTGATCGGTAATCGCATGCGATTTTTTGGGAGCCACTCTCCCTTCATGGATCTCTACTAAACTGGCTGTTCTAGCCAGCACGAGGACTCAAAGTGATTCGTCATCCATCACCAGGGTTATCACGCCGATTTTGAGATATAATGCGGAAGCTGATCTTCCCGGTCCAGCTGCAGTATGAGATGGCTTCGTTCTATTCGGAGAGAAAATAGGACAGCATAGTCAAGGAATATGGATGTCGTGATCTGGTAGGTACGAGGTCTGCGCAGACTCAACAACGCAGTGAAATGCTATATTTTAGAACGAGCGATGACCTTGAGTTTGCGTCATGACCTGGCTAGCTTACAGAAGGGGTTCAACCGCTGAGTATATCTTCCAGCCCTAGAACCAACTGTGACAATTCGAAGCTAGACCAGTCCTTTCTTGCATTATCTCGTCCACATTATTATCCGATATGCTTGGGAAGGTTGTCCTAGAGGAAGCATACGGAGGAAGTCGAAGCTAGACACCAGCCTGTACATCGATCCTTGGGACCGTGAGCGCTACGTGCGCCAAATCCACGATATCACCAGGGAACCTCTCCAATCATGCAACGAACATGGTATCGGATATACAGTGGTCTCCTTGACTGTCCCCGGGATACACGGCATTGCGGACAAGACCGAGGCGGAGACAGCAGCGACTCTGACGAACAACTGGATTGCAGAGCAGATCAAAGAGACCCGAGACTGCTTGGGGGCTTTTGCCTGCCTATCAATCGATGATCCCGTTCAGGCTGGCCAGGTGCTTCGCCGATGCGTCAAGGATCTCGGCTTCCACGGCGCTTTGCTGTGTGATTTCCAACATGCTGGTTCGAGTGGCGAGACATACCTCTTCTACAACCAACCTCAGTATGGTGCCTTTTGGGACGTCCTCACGGGGCTCGAAATTCCCCTTTATACCCACCCTGCAGCACCAGCCGATGTGATCCTGGAAGAGTTGTACAGTCAGCGTCCATTCTTGATCGGACCCCCTCTATCTTTCGCTAATGGGGTGAGTCTGCATACTCTGGGATTGATCAGCAATGGCGTGTTTGACCGATTTCCCACAGCGAAGGTTATCATTGGTCATCTGGGAGAACACATTCCGTTTGACTTTTGTCGTATAAACCACTGGTTCGAGGATGACGAGAAGCCCATTGCTGAAGAGAAGGACAAAATCATGTGCAAGAAGACCGTTTTATGATTACTTCAAGCAGAATATCTGGATCCACCACTAGCGGACACTTCTCCACGGCGACATTCTTCAAGTGTGTGGTGGACGAGATAGGCGCCGACTGCGTCCTCTTCAGCATCGACTACCCATTTGAGACGATCGAAAATGGCTGTGGCTGGTGGGATAATGGTGCGGAGGCCATTAAGGAGGCAGTGGGAGGTGTTGGTTTGTATCGTTGCAGCCGTCTAGACAACGCGAAGAAACCACTGAAGTTGGGTGACTTTGACGATTCCGAAGCGCCTGTCAACTGATCTCCCCTGACAATTAGTGGATTTTCGCAGCTTGTAAGATTGAGCGTGATAATATGTAAACATGGCAATTACCTGGTCCTTTCGGCTCAAAATCCCTTCAAGTACGGTCACTTTGACGACATACTGAATAATCTGGCGAAGAAATGATATAAACAAGGCTGTGACTTTCACGACTCAATGACCAAAGCAAAGACGATAATATTGGACGAGGTGATGATCCTAAAAGTAGTTATTTTGGCGACAGATTTGGCTGAAGACAAACGTCATCGAGCAGCTAGGTCCTCTTTCTTGTTAGGAATCCACCACCATACACCGGTAGTATTCTCGTTACTTTACCCAAATATGGAAATAGCAGAGAACAATCGAAAAGCCAATGAATATGTCCGAGAATGTGGACTCAGTGGCGAAGGATCGACAGGAAAATACTACCTCAGCTCCCCCTTGCGTGGGGATCGCAAGAGCAAAGTTCCCTTACCCGTCTAGCGGTTGCAGAAATAAGTATCTGCAGAAATTGTCAAAGGTCCTGAGAGACTGCTCTCTGCTGGGTTGCTCATCTTATCATACCGCAGCTCGTCAAATCTTACCATATCCCATCCCGACACGGCGTATGCTCGGGAATGGACAACATGATATTCTACTGCTGGCCATGGCATCGGCGATTTGATGACCAAGTAAGTAAGCCTTCAGATATGCAACCCACGTGGCGTCCATATGGGGGCAGCCACACCTCCTTGCATGGGGCAGGAGGTAAGAGTTAGGACGTAGGTGGTTTAAGGAGCACATGCCACCGAATAACTCATCTGTGGCACATCGAGTGTACCAGTCTTTGTTGTACAAGAAAGACTGGACTTCTCTTCTACGTCTGCATTTGTTCACCCAATCAACCAAATGGATACTTCCTATGATCCCAACATGATGGACGACGCACGTTTAGAGGCTGCCTTAGGCCACAAGCAGGAGCTGAGAAGACACTTTGATCTCTTCAGCTTAGTCAGTCTCGGTATTGTCATTGCGAAGTAGGTCAAGTACAAGGCCAGCCATCTGAACAGTTTGCTGATATAGCCTAGCGCCTGGGCCGTTACTGGAGGAACGATCGTTGCAGCTCTGCAAGATGGGGGCCCCATGGCAATACTGTACGGCCTCATACTTGTTAGTATATTCTATACACTCATATCCGCGTCCCTGTCCGAACTGGCGTCTTCCATGCCATCGGCCGGGGAGTTTATTATTGGGCATCGGTGTCGAGCCAAGAATACGGACGGTTTGTTGGCTTTTTAACCGGGTACCTGAATGCTTGTGCCTGGCTTCTGTCGGCTGCGTCGATTAGCTCCATGCTCGGGAATGAGGCCGTGACCATGTACATGCTCCTCAATCCCGGCTCGCAATGGCATTCGTGGCAGGTGTTCATCGTTTTCCAACTGCTCGCTTGGATATGTTGCGCGGTGGTTTGTTTCGGGAATAAACTCATCCCTATGTTGAACCGAGTTGCTCTTGTTCTCTCAATGTGTGGTCTATTGGTGACAGTCATTGTGCTCGCTGTCATGCCGAGAAAGCATGCAAGCAATTCTGAGGTTTGGAGAAGATATCACAACAACACCGGTGGTTGGTCGGATGGTATTTGTTTCCTCATTGGTTTGATCAACCCGGCCTTCTCAATCGGAGTCCCTGACTGCATCACTCATCTTTCCGAAGAAGGTTAGTGATCTTGCTCCTTAAGTCTACTACTTTCTTAGGTAACAATGCTTTTCACTTAGTTGTGAAGCCCGAAATCAGAGTGCCTCAAGGGACGATGCTCCAGATGTTAACTGCCTTTATCACCACTTTTGTCTACCTAATTGCTTTGTTCTACTCCATTGAGGACCTCGACGCTGTCTTACATAGCGAGTTCTCATCTTTCCCAACAGCAGAAATCTACCGACAAGCCACCGGATCCAGGGATGGTGCAGTCGGACTGGTTGCGGTGCTTTTCCTGACCGCGTTTCCAACCCTAGTTGGAGTCTACATCACCGGCGGCCGCATGTGGTGGAGTCTTGCTCGTGACAATGCAACCCCTTTCGCCTCATACTTCAGTCATGTCCATCCAACACAGAAGAATCCCATCCGGGCCACTGTAGCCATGGCTGGTATGGTGAGTTTCCTGGGTTGCATATACATAAGCAGTACTACCGCATTCCAGGCACTACTATCGTCCTATGTCGTGCTGAGCACTCTGTCCTATCTAGGGGCTATTCTGCCGCATGTGCTGACAGGCCGGAAGAATATAGTACCTGGACCTTTCTATATGGGAAGAAAGATGGGCTTGGTAGTGAACGGAGTGGCTGTGGTCTATATCCTTGCTACTATTGTCTTCTTTTGCTTTCCACTCACCCTCCCGGTCACAGTTCACAACATGAACTATTCGAGTGTTATTGCTGTAGGACTGGTCACTTTGACTGCGTTATGGTGGTTTGTTCGTGGAAGACGCGATTACAGGGGGCCGCAGTACAGTGTCGAAATCGCGCAAAGTCTTCCTGCCGTGTTGGAAACAGAGAAGAATGGACACTCTTGACAGAAGGCTGCCTGAAAACCATATGATTGTTTTAATCTCTATCTCTCAGATGCCGCAACGTGTAATATTAGCAATTGAAATCTACCCAGGGCAACCGGCGGAACCCAGCATAAGTCCAGCACGAACTACTTTCGACCGGAGCCTTGAGGGACACTCTCAGCTGCAAGTATGTTTTAAGTTAGCTCCTTAAGGCATCACAAGAGTTTGCTATCATCATCTTCTTTCAGCAAAGGAAAAGATCAACCCTGCTGTTGCATCTACAGTCTCGGGCGGATTGACTGGCTTCCCTCCCAGGACTCGCCAGCCTCCAAGGTCTGCCAGCCAGCAACGGAACCAGCCTCGATGCAAATCATCTTCTTGTACGCATCGTCCGGGGCAAAATCGGCCATGCCCTTCGCCTTTTCGATCCAAGGGTTCCAGACAACAACATCGTTCAATCCCTCGCGTGTAACAGAGAAAATAAGCTTGTCGTCAGCAGCAGATGCCACGATGATGGGAACCTTAGGATCCAAGGCTTTGTACACACGATCTGTCTCCTTATTGATTTCCAATGCAGGCGAAGTCTCAGTGTGCGTAGTAGCGTTTTGGGTCTTATCGATGTAGGTCTTGGATCCGAGGTTCTTAACCCGGACTTGCGAGATATCCTAAGACGCATTGGTAATTAGCAACGCCATGCAGCAGCGTCAGGAATATAAATGGCCGCTTACATCAATGCTGAGATAGGTGTGCATCAGAACCTGGAAGTCGAAATTCTGGTTGCCCTTGTTCTGCACTTGCAGGGCTGTTTCCAAACCTTCCTTGGACAAGGTGACACTGTACAAAAGACCGAATTCATACGGCCAAGCCTTCCGGAATTCCTCGCTCAGCATAGTATGAGACAGACCAAAGTCGAGCTTGACCGAATCATCACAGTCCTTCTTTCCTAGCGATTCGGACGATGACTTGCCCAGGAACTCCCAGTTGGAGTTGCGCGCAAAGCCATGCTGAGGGAGGGAGGAGGTAGCGTGGTTGGGAGGAGGAGGACCAAAGACCTATAGCAAGTGGGAGATGTCTCGCGTCAGTCGTGCTGTCTAGCTTCAGGTAAGGAGATCTTGAATAGACGTACAGGGAACACAACGGGAATGCCACCACGGATAGGCTTGGAGCCATCCAAATGAGCCTTTTCACTCATGAACAACTGTTCCCGTCCATTTGCAAGCTTCCACGAGGTGACTGTTGCTCCATACAAGTGAACGGTGACTGACTCGCCGGTGGGCAAGGTGGCCTCGATCTTGTTCTCGCGGAAGGTGATGGTGGGCTGGGGTAGTGATGCAGCCACACCAATGGCTGAGGGCTTGTTAGACCGCTCCATTTTTTCCGATGTCAGATTCAAAGCAGATCTTAGGCTAGACTTGTGGGTTTGAGAGTCTAAAGAGCGAAGATGGTCGTTGGGCTTGCTGTGATGCGGGGAGTGCTATGATGGGACTGAGGGGAGGTGGGGCAACAACATCATAACCGTCGATCATAACAGTCGCCCTATTATTTCACCACATATGACTCCCTCTGACATCAAGCCAACCCACAATTTGGAAGTTTGCCTACCATAACTTACAGTGTTAGTTGGAAATAATTTGCCGCTTGTTCACTGTTTACTTTTCCAGCTCCGACTACTATACTGTGGTGTCCGAGTTCTTTGCTTAAACCGATCAAGGAAGCAATCTGATTGTTAAAGTACCGGCTATTGCATGCCTCTAACCATGCTGCCACAGTACCGTGGTATGTCCCTCGATACTCACGGCCTCAATCCGTCGCATCTCGTCTGGTGTCAGGCGCCAACCTAGAGCCTGCATGTCCTGCTCCGCTTGCTCACCACTCCGAATTCCCACCAGAGGAAGAACTCCCTTGTTGATACTGAAATTCAAAACCACAGCGGCCACGGGGACACGTCTTTGTTCAGCGATTCGTTCAAGCACGTTCAGGGTTGGCTCAAGCATGTGCATGGGATAGCTACTGAAACGATAAGTCCGCGGAGGCTCATGGAATCGAGAGTACTTATTCGACAGGCGGCCCTCTCCCAGCGATGCATATCCCTGGAAGACGATGCCTCTCTGGCGGCATTCACGGATCAATCCATGAACTTCTGGATTTCTTCTAATGACGGAGTACTCGCACTGATTGACCGCCAGGGGGACGCCATGCTTGTCGAGCTCATTGGCCATTTTGATCATATCGTCTTTATCATAATTCGCAACGCCAACGGTCCGTGCCAACCCATTGTTGACGCAGTTCGCAAGACCCTGCGCGACAGTCGATATCATGCTAAGGTGAGTTGGTCCATGGACAAGGTAAACATCCACATATTCAAGGCCAAGCCTCTCCAACGAGCTCCTGAGCTTGTTTTCCAGGCCGTGCGATTGGAGAAAGACGTTGGTCGGGTCCGGCCATGACATCCATTTTGTCTGTATGATGAATTCCTCCCGCCTCATGTCCTTGAACAGCTGGCCACAGATACGCTCGCTGTCTCCGTCGCCATACGCAGGGGCGGTGTCAACAAAAGTTAACCCGACCTGTCGCAACTTCGACCAAGCGGCTCGGATCCTCGGAAGGTCACGTTCTGCATCGTATTTCCACGTGGCTTTATCGCCCCAGGACCAGGCACCGATGCATATATATGGCACTAGAACATCGTGGGCCTTTCCTCGCAGTGTGATTCGGGCCCTCGAGTCTGGTATGATCTCACTAGGCAACACATAAGACTCCTCGCTCATCTTGGGGTCAACGGGATTCGGGTGCGGCGAGTGTATTGGCCCTTCTGTAGCGGACATACCGGATGCCAGCCCTGTCTGCAAGACATACTGACTTCCTGCGACTGACATTTTGCGCAATTAAGGGTATCAATATACAAACGTAATCGATTCTATATGTGCTCGGACTTGACTATGCACAGAGTAGGAAGCAAATGTCATACAACGGCACAGGATATCCAATTACTCTTCGGCGAATATATACACAAACGTTGGCCTCCCTTCGTCATTGTGATGGCCAGATATCTGAGGTTTCCCGGAGGACATGTCCGAGCTCGCCTCCATCCACACTGCATGGTACATTTGCCAGGCTGATGGCGAGGGCGCCATGATTCGCAAAACATCAAGCGCATGTCCGTCACAAAAAGGAATTATAGAACAACGCAAAAAGTATCAAGCAAAACTGAAGCAAAAAGCAAAAAGAATGCGCCAAACGGGATTCGAACTCGTGTCTCGGTCTTGCCCAGTAGGGGAATGGGAGGACCGCATCCTAACCACTAGACCATTGGCGCGCTGTTGTGGTTAGTAAGGCAAACTTACTAATGATGACACATTCCACCTGCGATTTCGTTTAGCTATGGCAGGCTATATTTTTCTCTCTTCGCGTCTCTTTCTGTCTGGAAAAGTTTCTTGATTGATGAATATGGAATAAAAACGTCATCCTGTTGGTTTGGAATTAATTGACTCTATATCATTCGCGCTTTTCAGAAATAGAGACAGGTGAGTGTAGAGAGATGAAGAGGGAGAAAAGGGAAAAAATGGATTCCAGAAACGCCATCGCTATGCTCTATGTAGATATCCAACCCGATAAGCCCATGCGAACTCCGGTCCAAAATTGTGGGTCAACCCAAAAAATCAAAAAGAGTGACATGCACGCCGGTGATCATATCAGAACGAATGATATTCATGTTCCTACCTTAGAACTCGATACAGCAGCCATTGCTGCCCCCTCAGTGGCCACAGGTTTTGGGTTCCCAAGTGTGCTCGTAGCATCGCGTTTAGATACTTCCTCATCGATAAAGCATCCTAAGCCTGCAAATGCCTCGAGCAGGGTACGAGAATAATATTCCCGTAAATCGTACCCACCCGCCTGCATACGGGTGTCCTGTCTGATTGGGTCGAGGTAACTGGATGGGTAGTGATCGCGCAGGGTATAGTAGTCGCGCTTGTTGGGAACGTAACCGCCAAATGGATCGTAGGCCTTCTCGGGCTCCGGGGTCTTGATCTTCTTGAGACCCTTGATGAGACCTGTGTCTGCTGGACCGGCGCGGTCCGCAGTGGTGGCAGTCTGGCCGAGTTTCTTGAGCTCCGAGCTGCGCAGGGCGGCCTGCTTCTGACGGATTCGATCTTCCTCGCTACGCCGCGCAGATGATTTCTTGAGGAGGACTTTGTGGCTCTCCCGGGCGATGGTGGCGGCATCGCCTGGTTTTCCCGCTGCAAGCCGGGCGAGATAGTCTTCTCGGCCAGCGATGACCTCTCGTCGCTCGTTCTCGTATTCTTGCCTTGCCTCCTCCCGGCGAATACGTGCGAGCTCCTGTTCCTGTGTCTGTTGTTCTTGGAAAGACGATGCCTCCTGGGCTTCGAGAGCGCGGTTGGCCCGAATGGAGTTCATGTTCTCTTGCGCGTATTTCTGGAGATCCGCCTCTGTCTTCGCTACGTCTGTGCCGTGGACGAGATTTGCAATAATTTCTTCACGCTGTTCAAGGAAATCGTCCCAGGCCCGTTTCGAGTCGAACTCCTCCTCGCGGCGGTTTAGACTGGATGTCATTAGCGCAGCTCAGAGAGAAAAAGCTCTAGGTATTGAAGAGCCTACATTGACATCACTCGGCGCCGTATATCCACCTCCCTTTCCACTCCGATATCCTCAAAGGTCTGCTTTCTGAAACGATTCTTCCGCAGGGTTCTATGGCATCCCGCGACAGGGCAGTTGGCAGGGCCCGAGGAGAAAATCCGATCCACACAAGACTCGCACATCTTATGGTAGCATTCTGGGTTGATGAGGAATCGCATATCCGGGTTCAAGTAGCGGGACGATTTGCAAACGGGACAGACCTCTGAACAGGGCCATTCAGCATTTAATCGTAGGAAGATCTAGCAGCCATGAGGTAGTTACTTACCATCTTCATCCCCGCGATGAGCGAGGGAATCGCGAGCAGGAGGCATGATTCACAATCAAAAAGACAGATGAATCCACTCGATGAGATGCGAGAAAATTCTACGACTGTGAGCGAATTTCAAGAGCAGAAAGATGTTCATGTCGATGACGGCGTTAGCTGATAGTTGAAGAGCTGGAGGGACGGGCCAATCAGAAGCATGGTTCGCGGTTCCGCGGCTGCGGAACTTCTTTTGTCTTCTTTGCCTCACCCATCAAAATCTGAGCATACCTACACCAAATCTTCTGGCCAGACAAGTTTGCGCCAAGTCTGATGCGATAAAACATTATATCATGGTTTTTATTCATCCCTACAATATAGACATTTGAGAATCTCCACCATGGGCGTGCCAGACAGCCACTTACAAGACCTCGAGCGTCAGCGCCTCGAACTCGAGGGCAATATCTTGAAACTTCAGGAGTCGTTGTATCATTGGCGGACATGGGAGGCCGAATACGACGGATTGAAGGAGGAAATCAGCAATCTAGACGACAATGCTTCGACAAGCGATTTCCTCCGCATAGGCCGCAACTTCGGCGGGTCGCTGGTTAATGAAGGCGAAGTCAAGGTGATTCTGGGCGAGAAACAAGGCGTGTCACGATCGAGGCAACAGGTTATCGATTTGATATCGAGGCGGATTGACTACGTGAAGGAAAATGTTGCGACGATGGAAAAGAGGCTGCGCAAAGCAGAGTCTCAGCTTTATGCGCTGGAAACTTCCGAACAACTTCCCTCAGAACCTACTGCGGATTTTCAAATGACGGAGATCATTGAGGAACTCGATGACAATGGCAATGTGATTTCCAGCTCAATCTCGACGCCTGGGAATCAGGCCCCGGAACTCCTGGAAATTTTGAAGAAGGCCGGCGTGAAGGACATACCGGAGGTTCCGAAGCGGAAAGACACAGAAAATGCTGCACCACCTGTCAATGCTGAGGATGATCGGGCTGGTGAGGCTGAAGAAATCCAGGCTCCTGGCCCCAAGGATCATCAGGCCGAAAAGCAGGATGAGAGCACCATGCCTTCAAAATCGCTAGCGGAAACGCAAGAAGAGCAGCCTATCACTGATATCGATGAGCCCCGGAAGACGCAGAACTACGCCGTGAGATGCTACGATACAGCTTGGATGAAGTCGGAGCTGTCGTTGCCGAGCTTGAGCTAGACGAAGATGCGGACGAAGTCTCTGTTGACGAAGAATTTGACGAAGAATTTGACGAAGAATTTGACGAAGAATATGACTATGATGACGATGAGGAAGAGGAAGAAGACAGTTTTGGAAGGACGCGTCCTGTCCTGGATGAAGACTATCATCGGCAGATGCGGGAGCTAGAGAAGAAGTTGAACGCCAAGGGCTTGTGGAATGTGGGCAAAGATACCACTTCCCTTCCAGAGGATATTCAGAAGGAACTTGAACGACCTGCTGTTGTTCGAATCGAGAAATCCGACGATTCTGTTGATACGGCGGTGAAGGAGAGCAAGCCGAAGAAAAAGGTTGCTTTCGCCGAAGAGCTGGATATTGCTCCGGCCCCTAAACCTGCTGTCCCCGAGAAGAAGACTCTTCCACCCAAGCACCCTGAAGTGCCGACAATGGCGGAGTCGGTTGTGGAACGCACCCAGCAGAACGGGAAGACACCAGCGGCAAGTAGGGGTCCAAAGAAGGCCTCGCGCTTCAAGAGTGCCAGGAAAGCAACCACGGAAGAGATACCCAGCGTCGTTCCTCCCACCAACGGCATCCGAGCCTCAGATCCTCGCCCACCGCATCGCAAGCCCGCTGCCCCAACACCAGATTCCATTCCTCTCTTCCCGGCCAAACCAAGGCAACCCAAACCATTCTCACAACCAATCTCAGATATCATTGAAAAGCCATCCCCACCACCGCAACCCGAAGGTCCGGAGGGGAAGATCCTCGCAGATACACTTGTCGAGCGAACCGTCTCAGAAGGAGCCGCCGTCGCTCCCGAGCCAGACGAGCTCGACGAGCAGCTGCACAGGAAAGAAATCGCGACGGAGTTCTACAGGATGCGGAACCGGAAGGTCCAGCAGAACGGTGGGTTCGTGGATGACGAACCCGAGAGGGTTCCCATAGACGTCGATGGAGCCCCGAGGCGCGTGAGCAAGTTCAAAGCAGCGCGGATGAGTCAATCATAGAAGTACCATGGCCATGAGAGCATATACCCATTCTATTAACATTCGTCCTTTCTCTTCTTCTTGTGTAGTGATCTACTCCTGAGTGTAGATCGGAATTCTCACTCTGCCACTTGCTCTCCGGAGTTCTGGCGGAGTCATGATCATATCTGAACCAGTGGTATGATCAACTTGAGAAGATTCCAAGATCGAAGCTTAAGAGGGCTCTCTGACTGTATTTCGTCCCCGGCTCATCAACTGCACGTACTGTGCTCAAGTAGAGTACTTACGGACGGCTGATGAGTTGGAGCATGTGGAAATCCGGTAACGTTTCACCCTCTACAAGACTGTTCAGGCTGGCACCTCTATTTTGCGTGGAGCTGGCTCTTTAAATGCACATGGTCAGATTAAATCTCCACCGTATTCTTCGCTTTATTGCTTGACTAGGACTATTGAACATATTGTGTCTTCCCACCAAGAGTCCAACAAAAACAGTTTAGGTATCAAGTCCTGAGGAGACTTATGCAGTCGTAAACATCATGAGAAAATAATGAAGAGCCTTTTAACAGCAACCGGAAGTCTTTTGGCAGAAGCCCCACAGGATAAATGGAAAATTGTAGCAGGAGTCTCAACCCACAAAGGCATCCCGCTCCATGGACAATCAAAGAAGCATCGACTCTCGAGGGGCTTGCCAGAGACATAATTTATGGAATCGCATGCTGAGGCTGACAATGACAACGTGGACACCGAGAGCGACAAAGTGTGCCAGTAAACTCCGGGACCGCAGAATGAATCCCGCGAGTAGAAGCAAGGGGTAGAGGACCCAAGGATTGACAGCTAGGGGAGCACAAGGCTGAAAGATTGAAACGACCTTCACAAAAAATAAAGACAGGGGTAGAAACGGCATAGTAGGCAATCGATGAGACGAGACTATTTCGAAGAGCCTTGCCAGGTAAGGACGAGTTGGCGGCGGAGGTAGCAAGTGCTGTAGGGGCCGAGTATCTCGATTCTCACTTGTCTGTTCAGCACGGTCGGTTTGATCCTGCGTAGGGTGAGGGGTAGCAGAAAACCTGGGTCGGATCATCAGCTCTCGTTCGGAGGTGAGAGAGTCTCTTTTCTCTGTCCCATTGCTGATGGCAAAAGACGCTGCCTCAAGAACGGTGCTGCTGGGTTCATAGTTAGAGCTGCGCCGTAGAGCCACTGGGCTTCCAGCGAGTGCATTCCTTGGAGAGACGGATCGGCCCACCGATGAAGCGTCGGGGCTATCGACTGGATGAATTCTAGAGTTGGTACGAGGGTCAGGACTCGTGGAGCTAGATCTCCTGAACCGGAAATGCTCATTCCCATTGACACCGGCGTGAATGCCGCTCAAGACTTCATCCGCAGTCGGCCGTCGGTCGGGATCCAAAGATAAGAGACGCTTGAGAAAAGTATAGAGCTTCTCAGGCAAGTCCGGCCGCAGTCTACGTTCGTCATCAAACCCGGTCCACTGGCTGATTTCTGCACGAAGTTGATCGAGATCCTCTTTCTCCTCGTGAATCAAGTCAGCATTGCGGTAAGGAAGTTCCGCAAAGCATAGGAAATGAAGTATCATCCCCAAGGAGAAGATATCTGACTTGAACGTGAAATTGCCAAATGGTCCTCCAGGGAACTCTCGTCGTAGGACTTCCGGTGCACAATATGAAACAGTTCCCGTTGCCCCAGTTGACAATCGTGTGGTATCCTGAGCCTGCACCTCGCCGAAGTCACTGACCAACACCCGTAAACCATCACTTGTTTCATGAAGCAAGCAGTTATTAGGTTTGAGATCCCGGTGGATATAACCGTTCACATGTAAATGACGGAGGCCGGACGTGATGTCCTTGAAGAACGAATAAATCTGCTCGAAATTCAGCTTGCGAGGTCCGCCCAGGTCAACCTTAGGTTCCGGCTCTCCCTTGGATTTTCTCCGCAGACGCGCCTTTAATTGCTGTGGCGTAGTCGTATCTTGCACCGAGCCACAAATATAGTTGTGTAGATCTCCAGCGTTGCAGTATTGTTGTAGGATGAACGCACACGGCACACTTGGCCCAAAGGTGCTGATTTTAGCATTCTCAAGCCATACGTGCCGATAGGATACGAGATTCTGATGCGATAAATGTTGCAACAATTGGACCTCGCCCAGGACCTTTTCCAACCATTCGTGATCGTCACCGACCGGAACACGTTTGCAAGCGTAGTGTCCCAACGATACACCATCCAGCACATGCTTCACCAGAAGCACCACACCCTTGCCTCCTTTCCCTAGAATTCTCTCCTCAACGAAGAATTTTTTGAAGTAATCCTGGGTAAACGCGGCGGAGGATATCCCCTGAGTTCCACCTATGGAAGGAGCTGGTTCGCTCGTGGGCCCATCGGCGAGAGCAGGTTGGACCAAACGCCGACGCGGAGAAGGGGGTGTCGATGAGTCCGCGGAGCTAGGCAAGCTATTATGAAGCATGCGAAAGTAGTCCGGGTTGACAAATTCCGCCTGGGGGCTAGCATGGTGCCCTTCTTGACCTGCATTGCTCTCACGAAGCGGTCGATGGCAATAGGGACAGTCGGTCAGTTCAAGGCCCGCATGGCTGTCAGAGGCGTTCCGCAGTACCAGCTGCTGGGAGTCTCGATCGAAAACGACGACTGAATCGTTGTGACGCCTGCGATATTAAAACCATTAGATTCACTGGCCTGAGCACACATTCTGTGTAGTAGTAGAGCCCTTACAGCACAACGTCAAAGTTAGAAGATCCGTAGGGAACAATAGACATGCCCTCTTCCGCCATTATTGGGGGAACGGTAGCACATCTCTCTAGGAATCAGAGACATGAAGAATTGTAGTTGTAGTCATGGACCCTAGTTCCACAGAAGACAACATGCAGCCGACTTTGCTGTCTCGAGAACCTTATGATGCAAACCGCAAGGGCTATCTAGTTGTATTGGGGGAGGGGAAAGTGAGGCTAGAGGGCCCCACACAAGCTGCAGGCGGTGAGGCACACTCTACTTGCTTATGTACCGCCCATTTCGCTTCTACAGTCTTTACCAAGGTACAGCAAACGGAAATAGCTCATGTGATTTGTTAATTTCCTCTTAAATAGGGTGTGGGTATCAATAATATAGGACCGCGATGCATTGAGCATCTATTCAGTGACCATTGCGTTGTCACGATGGCCTAACTGAAAGAAGTGTTGACGAGTGTCACGCCCGATTCATGTCGTGTAAATCCACGACTGGGCTGCGTACACGCGTCGAAAGGCCTCGACTCCATCAGACACTCGGACCCTGATGGGATGCGTGCCGAACACGGACTCTGAAACGCAACCCGAAGGTGACTCAGAAGCCCGCCGGGCTATGCGCCGTTGGTCTAAACAGCCCATCGGCGAGGAGCCACAAGCCTAACGATGAAGCCTGTGGCAATATAGCTGTACAAGCATGAGCTCGTATGAAGTGAAATTGTTGAAGGAGAGCTTCTGTTCACTCCTCCCCGCTTTCTTCATCGCTGATTTCCAGATTCGCAATTGAGTCATCATCATCGTGGCTTTCGAAGCCTTCGAATTCCTCATCTTTGGACTCGGCGTCCTCTTTGTTAGAGGCATGCTCGGTGGTTCCCGCAGGCTCCGAGTTTGTCTCGTCAAGCTTCCTCTTTCGACGCATCTCCCCAAGCCGACCTTCGCGACCTTCGATCTTTGCATTGTCGTCACCGGCGGACTTGGGAGGAGGGGTGAACCACGGTATCTTGCCTCGAAGGAAATCATTGATGACCATCTTAGCGACACCATCCAAATCAGGCTCGCCTCCACGGAGGAGTCTACCGCCCTTGCGGGCGAGAATGCTAAGGAATTCGATCGGATCTCCAGTGCTCTTGATGCCATACGTGCGTTCAAGGTGTTTAGGTTGAACCTTTGCCAGGACAGCAGGGATATACTGTTCAGGGTTGTGAACATTCTCGACACGGACGACGCCACGAAGGAGAATATCTTGCTCCGTGTCGTTTTGGTTTGGTGGAACCACGCCAGGGCAGTCAATGAGATAGATTCTCTTCATCAAAGTCACATACTGCCAAACCTTGGTCTCTCCGGGGATGGGAGCCACGGTGCAAACTTTCTTTTTCCGCAAAGTGTTGATGATGGATGATTTCCCAGTGTTAGGATAACCAATCAATCCCACAGAGATCTGCTTCCGATCCGAGTGCAAAGAGGAGAATTGTCTCAGAAGCTGGATCAAAGAACCTTTACCAAAGGAGTTGTTGATCGAAGCGTGGAATGCTAACGTGGGGTAGTCCTTAGAGAGATACCGTACCCAAGATGCCTGGTAGAAGAGTTAGCGAACCCTACCAGCGTTTGAATAAAACAGATGAGAATTCAAATCAGAGAAGAGTGTGATGTGTGAAATGTTACTAAGAGGACTGCTACGAAGCCGCCAAAAGGCAGAAGCAGCACTCAACTCACAAACAGAACACAGCTTAGCCCTTTACGACCAGTCTTCAAAACGAAAACTGGTCAGCCTAGCTTCAGAATGAAATTCGGCACGGGCCAGCGTCAATCTGCCAGAGCTGTAACAGACAAACTTCCATGGAGAAAAGCACGACACAAAGTCGCAGGAAGAAGACTTGACTTAGCAATGGCATGTAGGCTCTTCAAGACCACGAAGATGCAACGTGATGATCGTATTGGGCTACAGCTTTGAGGGTAGGAATGAATGAACGAAGAGTATACTTACTGCCACGTTCGTGGGAACAAGATCACACTTGTTAAGCACAAAGATCAAGTGCTTATGGGGAGCTTCCTCACGAATATACTTCTCAACACTCCGGCAACGTGTGCCTTCGGGGTCACGAGCGTCAAGCACGTGGATGACAACGTCTGAAGAATCGATGACCTTGTACAGCTCGTTCCAGATTCGCTTGCTCTGTCCTTTGGAGAAGACGGACTCTCGAGCAGTGGGCGCTTCACTGAAAGTCTTGTCCTCGGTCGACACATCGCCGGAAGCGATGATTGTTCCATCTTCGTGAGTGGCTTGATCCGTCTTTTCAACATAGGCGTCATGCATCTTGACTGTCTCCCCAGCCAGGTCTTCCAGAGACGCAACACCCAGCTTGACTCGTTTTCTTTGAGCCTTAGGACCGAATGTATCACTGAAAGGAGCGGTCTCAATGGCCATCTTCGCTTCATGCTGCTTCAGTCCATTCACAGTGTGAACATTGTCTCTGATTAAGCTCATAGGAAGCTTGTTGGTCTTGAGGAGAACCGAGTACGGGTCCGAGGCACGTTCAGCGACTGCCTCGCGGAAGGACGTTAAGGCCTCCTGAGAAATTACTCTCGTGTTACCGAACCATTTACGGTTGGGTTCAATCCGAGCCGTGGGTGCATCTCGTGACTGGTACGAGGCGGCGACGGTGATGTTTCCAGCAGCGTCACGTCGAGGCTTGCCATCCTTGAACATGTTCAGATGCTTGACCTTCTTCGCATCTCTTCCATTAAGTCAGTCAAACATTCTTTTCACGCTGGATAAAGCACATAAAACATACCTGTAGAAGTTTTCACCCTTAGTTCTGACATTGGCCATGCCATCTCCAACCTTCCCCTGGCGTACCTTACGGTTCGCCTCCTTCTTTCCTGTACCCATGTCGAATGCTACTCCTTGATAAGGCCTTCAGAAAATAATTTCAAAAAAAAAGTCCCAAAGGCAGCAGTAGAGAATAAGAGTTGGCAAAGCGCAAGAGAAGGAAGAGAAGGAAAAGGAAAATTTCCTCGGAGTGAGATTATTTTTTTTCCTGGCGTGGGTGCCAAGCTCTGTGGTGCACGGACCAAGTGCAAGAAAATCCGCTTCATCTTTCCCGACTCCTATGATATTGGGACCGCCGTCTTCGATCGTTCATTGCTTGCTACGTTCTTGTCTGGCCACTTGCTAAGATTGGAGATTACTTGCTCCTCAATCTCCTGTGGCCCCTTTTCTATTCAACAGGGACTTGCCGCTTGCTCGGGGTCCTGTGAGAACGGCGTCTGTCCAACATGTCTCTCTTCCGCAACTGCAGGGCTGCCACGGCGCAAGTCCGTAGCTTCTCCTCTTCCACCTGCCGTCGAGTCGGACCAGAGTCTCCAAATTTCGTCGACGTCCCTCAAACCATTCAGCCCGATCTACGAGTGAAACCCCGAGTTAAGGGTACGCTGCCAGTCCCTCGAGAGCTCTTCCCTGCCCGCCGAGTAGACAAGCCGACCGAAGAATACATTGCTGCTGCGACACCACTTCCGTCGAAGGATATCAAAATCGACCCCAATGACCCACACGCTGAGTATAAGGATTGGAAGCGGCGAATGGCCGACATGAGGCGGCAGAATCTTCGGGAAGGTCTCCTCGAATTGCACAGCCGCAAGCAGCGGACGGACAAGTTCATGGCGTACCGCAGCATTCAGAGACAGAAAAAACGCGAACAAGTTCTTCGGCAGCCGGAAAGAGACGATGAACGCTTGACTCGTCCCTCTGTTGTCCAAGAGATGTTGCCTAAACGTACCCCGGTGCTGCCCGATCCCGACAGAGAAGAGCGCCTTGCTCAAGCTCGCGCAAAGTTGGAGAGCAAGAAGGCTCGGGATGAGTTAGAACGGCAGGACTCATTACAAGCGCTTTACGTGAATGCTCGTACCTTTATCACCACCGAGGCTCAGCTTGCCGCCGAGATCGAGAAGGTGTTCCCCGAGGGTGAGAACGAGGCGTGGCGCAGTGACCACCAGCAGGGTGAGAATATTTGGAACCTTGGCGTGCCTCCGACAGTGCAAAACATTGTCAACGAATCGAAGAAGAGCGAAGCAGCTCGCTGGGATCTTATCCAGGGCAGAGTCAAGAAACTGGGAGAGCAGATTACTGGAGGCAAGATATAATGCGGCTGTTTATGAGTTATTGTACAGTATGGGTTTCTCAAAGAATCACAGCAGCTTTTGTTTGTATTATTATCACCTCATTTCAATGTCTGGATCAATGTCTATATCGTGTGTTTCTCTCACACCCGACAGCGGCGTGCCGTTGCCCCCCTTAATCCGATGTACTGTGATAACGAGGATTCGGACAATTGGGTGTCTCACTCAGTGCGGAGGGGTCACTGTGTTTGTCCCTTCAGTTGAAGGCTTTGACTCACCAGACTCTCACCCCGTCAGGGTCGAGAGCTAGAGCTTTAAACCTGCAGCACAGGACAATGCTAATCTAGAGTTTGAGTACCTACCATTGCTTCTCGCATACTTCAAGAGGCAGAAAATACAAAGGTCAATTCAAGGTCTATGAGAGTTTGCTGTATCCTAGGCACCTCTATTAATGACATTCTTCGCCCCGACTACCTTGGAACCACCTCGCAGTCACACATAGCCAACATACACATGACCAGAACGGGACACTAAATGGATGTTTTGACAGCTTCAGAGATCTACACATGTAAGTGATGCAAGGCTTACATCGGTTCAAGGGATCGACATTACTCAACTACATCAGTCCGTGTATAATTCACACTTAACGGGCTTTGCGGGAAGATCAGGGCCATCTTGTTTGCTCATGCTGGAGAATGACGCTTGTATTGACGCTTTGTTGGTGGACCCATGCGGTTTGAGATGGAGTTTTTGAGGTCCAGGCCTGGCTTTCTATCAAGCGATTGAGGCTTCCCATGCTCAGTATTATGGTCAAAGTTGTGTCAGGTGCCAGATCACAAAGGTAGAATTCCTTCGAACAGTAGCTGCACGAGTCAGGCAGCCTTGTAGTCCGCTTAGCGACGGTGAAGAGGAGACATCATACATCAGACGAGTGGTAGTATTGGTAGCCACAACTAGATGGTCGTCTTGATCCAAGGTCAAGCACATGCGAAAATGGACGGATTATTACACCTAGGTAGCGTTTTTATGATCTATGAGCACTGATCGACCAGTCTGAGGCTGTCTGCATTATCGGACCAATAGGTATATGTGCCTTCAGGTGCCAGCCTGGATAATAGGGCCGCACTGCGGCTATTCTCGTGTACTGTGTACGTTGGTGCCTGGCTGATGATGTCTTGTTGCAGTTACCTCGGTTACTCGACCTCCGCTGGCTTACTTGAAAGGAACGGATTTGCAGAGCAGTTATTAATGAAATAATAACTTGGTCCAATGACACGCGTGGCTAACATATAGATCGGCATGATGAAAGACCAAGTGTCTTACATCCATTGCATTACCCAGACCAATATTATTTTATTCATAAACCTTGTGAATGCAACAGTTATCAAATTGATAAACCCACAGTGGAAAAGCTGTGTAAAGACAATCAGCGCTCTCGGCTGCCAGCGGTGTCGTCACCTACCCACTGTATCCTCGTCAGGGAAGCTCCATCTCGTCCCACTTGAGCGTTGCTTACTTGTTCTGGCTCTTGTGTACCTCTAGAATTGTATAATTTCCCACCTTCTCCAGTCCATTTCCTTGGTTCAAAATCCACGCTCCAAAGTACCATAGTATTGGTGACCACGCCCAGGAACGTAGATGCTAAGACCCTGGTCCGTGAGGCACCAGCCATGCCCCATTACGAAAGCGACTAAGCAACAACAGGATAAGGCAACCCAGGCTGCCCCATTTTGCGCTCATGTTACGGAAGCTTAAGTCAACCCCGACAATCTCTTCATGACGTTTACTAGATGCAAGGCACCTTAAGAGATCTCCACTCTCTGCTCTGCTCCACTGCTCTTTTCCAGATGTATAGGCTTGTACTGGGAATGCATCACTAATGCGTGGAAACGCAGTAGTGCTCAACTGTGTTCAATTCATTACTGACCAGCCATCCCGGCTGATAGGAGACTATGAATAGAATGAAAGAACCATGGGAGCTCAACGCTTTCGTCCTTGAAACCTCGTCCAGCAATGTTTGTTGTCTTTGGCCAAACCAATTTCCGACTGTGCCAGATCCGTGGATCAAATCTGATATCGCCACCTCAGTTGCAGCTCTCATGCCCTGAGACTGAGAGAACCATGTATCGGGCAACATTGAAGGGCCGCTGACTCAGGGCAGGCTCTCTACGGCCAATCTAAGAACTTTTCCGATGGGTCCTGATCCACCCGCAGGTTCATACTTTGCACAATATTACTAGATATGGCTTGCCCGTCCTGCACTAGGATCGTAGGTGGGCCATGCTATCTCAATGCTATTCACCATCTCCCCACAATGTCTTATCCATCATGACGTCCTCCATATCGAATGGCGTTGAAATCCGATTACTTCCAGGCTCGCTGGCAGGTCCGTGCAATATCGAGCTTGTTTACTCGCTCTGGCGTGTTTATGATGCCAGACTGGTCGGTATTGGCCCACATGCATTACATGAGAATGAATTGCTACTGGCCAACACTTTGTTTCTATTTTCTGCTTTCATGCGAAAGTATGAGCTGTTGCTGACCTACCTTGATCTGGGTCCCAGTGACATCCATGACGCTGATATGAAGGGGTACCCACCACGGTTTATAAGTAACGAGTACTTCTCGTCCTCGTCAGTGTTTGCTGTAGTCCTCAAACAGACAAAAAGATAAACAACGTCGGTCTTAGTCGTACCAATTCAGACCAATCAAACCGTTTGTCCATTCGCTTCACCCATTGTGCTGCCTCGCCTCTTTCGTTCGCTCTCGCAGAATGAAGAACTTTGCCACTCTCGCGGCTCTCGCTGTCGGAGCCAATGCTCTCGTCACCAGAGACAACACCTGCTGCTTCCATCTGACCGCTTCTGGCGGTGCCTCTGGCCCCATTGGCCAGCTTGATGATGGACAGAACCGTGTCTACGGCAACCTTCCTGAGGGCGAGTACTGCATCAACTCCGATGGTGGTATCATCGATGGTCACGGACGTGGATGCATCTTGACCCGTGAGTATCTGGATTCACTTCTTGACAGATAGACAACGTCCTAACAAATATCGATAGCTCCTACCACCCAGCTCCAGTGTGATGCCGGAGCCCAGCCCACCACCGGTTTCTCCGTCAACGCCCAGGGCCTGCTCACCTACAACGGAAAGACAGACTTTGTCGCCTGTGAGACTGGTCAGAATGGAGGACTGAACGTCTACACCTCTCCCAATACCAATGATGTGACTGGCTGCAAGAACATCCAGCTGCATGCCGACAACTGTGCCAACACTGGTACCGGTACCGGTGCCAGTTCTTCCTCAGTCTACAGCTCGGTCATTTCTGTCACTCCAACAAGTTCCGCAGTGCAGGAGAGCACCCCTGCCGCCTCTCCTACTCCCGAGTCGAGCGCTCCGGGATCTACCACCACTGTCAAGACAACCATGACCTCTACCTTTTGCCCTGAGTCAACCACCCCAGCTGGCTCCGGTTCTCAACCCTCTACTCCCGCTGGCACTGGATCGCAGCCTTCTCATTCTGCTTCTGCCACCCAGTCTTCCAGCCCCAGCTGCCCGACCGATCTCTCTGGACAGTACGAATTCCCCCACCTAATCATCCCCGTCGACTCCTCTTCTCCCAACAAGGCTCCTGGCACCTCGTTCAACGGCACAGTCTCTTCCACCGTCTCGAGCATCTTCAATTTTGATATTCCTTCCTCGGACGCCGGCAAGACCTGCAGTCTCGTCTTCTTGTTCCCCAAGAAGGAGGACCTCGAGACCTCTTCTTACTCCTTCAGCGGTGACGGCAAGATCGATTTCGCCGCGCTGGAATCTGCTGCTACTTCTCAGACCTCCTACAGCAATGCTCCCAAGGTCAAGCAAGACTACGGCGTTACCACTGTCTCCCCTGGCAACTCCTACCTGATTTCTACCTTCCAGTGCCCCGCTGGACAGGCAGTCGGCTTCGAGATGAAGAACGCTGGTAGCACCAACCTCAACTTCTTCGAGGACTACAACCCCTCTCCGTAAGTTTACTCTGCGTGTCTCAACATCTGAATCGTGGCTAATCAACTTCCAGTCTTGGGCTGTACATCACTGTCTGCTAAGTCAATCGGCTTGACAAAGGACTACCCGACATTATGAGAACATGAATGATGGACCTATGGTAATATCTTTGGAACTTATGGCTTTTATTGATGAAAAAAACAAATTTTTCTTTCGAACCCAAATCGATTCAATGTCGGGTATGGTCGGGATGGCAGGCAGCAAAGTGAATCTTTCGAATGGGTCAGTGAATTAATTGTGAACAGTCATTCATTAGGTACATAGGAAGATAGCTTGCATTGTATAATACTACTAAGTCTTCTGAACGTCGATAATTGTTCCTTACAGAAAAGGCGGAGGACCCTGGCAATAACCACAAGGATATATATAGTCAACCATTTCAAACAGATATTATCTCCGATTAGCTTTCCAAATACTAATAGAATTTTCCTAAATAAACTATCGAAATAGAACTGCAAGCTACAAAGATTTATTTCAAAGGAGCGACAATGTTTCGTTCAGGTAGATACTATCCAAGTGGCATTCAGTGACAAAAAATAATGTTGCCTAGAACAACCGCTGTCGTGTGCCTCAGGTTGCCAATTAAAATTACTGGACGATCCCGCCGTGCAGAATAGTTGGGCGCCACGGAGACAGTGGACTTAGCATTTGACTTGACAGGACATTGGTTGATTATCTCTCTTTAATTGTTTTTCAAATGATTCTAGATCACGAATAATTATATATTTTAAAGGACAATACAAAAGAAATCAAATCGAGGTTGTACACGTGCCCTCAGTGGTGCTCTGGTGGCTTAGAATTAGACTTTGAGCCCCTGTGGCCTAAACAAGCTAGGTAAGTCCTCGTTTGATCTGATTCACAGTTGTTCGACCTACTCCAGGCCAGGGTCTAGTTGTGGATCCTCAGTGACAGCCTCAGCGCTTCTCATTGAGCGCAGCGGGTTCTGATTGTGTCAGGACAAGCCTGAATGGCTACGATCCACGCCACGGGACACGCTTCAAGCCTTAGCCGTCGAGGTGGCAGCAGTATTTTTCCCGTTATTGGCATAGCCCTGCAGTTTGTTCTCAATGTTTGAATTATTTTAGGCAGCTTTGGATCCGGCAGACTATTAATATGATCGCATGCTCAGGTTCTGCCATGAACGATATCTCATAAACCGCTCAATTGGGGATACTCCGAAGATTAGGATCCTGATTTACATCGCCGCGCGGGATCGCGGGATATTCTTTTGACTTGTACAGTAAGTTGTGGATCAGTCATTTTCCAAAGGAACAAGAGGATTTGTTTTCTGTGTTCTCCAAGAAATAGCCAAGAGGCTATTTGTACCAGCCCAGTTTGTACCCGAATTTGGGAAATATAATGCGTCTCCTTGTCCTATTGTGCAGTGAAAGCTGATTTTCATGCTCAGCTTTCCTTTAGAATCTTCGTTTCACCAGAGGCCGTTTATGTTTGTGGTCTAAGAGCTTCAGCGTCAAAAAATGGATAATCTTCCCTCTAAACTACCGTTCTCGAAGCGGCGGTTACGACCTCGTATTATAATTTCGTGAGTGATGAAATCGGCAAGATTGACTTACTGGAATTGTGTTGCTAATAGCTTCTGTTTCGTTATACAGATACATTGCCGACTATCTTATCCTCATGTTCGTATTTCCTTCCGTTTCGCTCGAAGACCGTCACAATCACTTACCGATAATTTCACTATAGCGGTTGCATTGCTGGTTTCTACATTTTCGATTCCATCGAACCCTATCACCAGCATTTCTCTCTGCGAAACATATCCATCCAGTACCCCTATGCCGTCCACGAGCGCATTTCGATCCAGGCAGCCCTGCTCATCTCCTGCGCCACCCCCTCGTCATAATTGCGTTGTATACGCTGTTCATTGACGGTCTGTTCTCGCATCACAAGCCGTACAATCCGGCATCCGGGAAGAGGAAGCTTACCGGGCCATACCGGTGGAAGGATCGCCTATGGGAGTTCAACTGTGGCTTCCTGGGTCTTCTGCTATCGCAGGGACTCGCATTTCTCATCACCCAGGTGCTGAAGACCGCATGTGGGAAGCCCAGGCCTGATTTGATCGATCGGTGCAAGCCGAGACCAGGAAGCGAAGATCTTATTCCTGGATTGTCCAATTCGACTATTTGTACGGGAGACCCCGCAATCATCAAGGATGGATTCCGTTCTTGGCCTTCAGGTAAGTTTACCCTGGGCCTTCTAATCTTTTTTTTTTTCTTGAGCTACGCTGACTGATAGTATAGGTCATAGTAGCTGTAAGCTTTTTTCTCTCAAAGTTTTGATGCTCTTTTCCTTGTACTAATCTGGGAATACAGCATCTTTTGCCGGGTTGTTCTACTTGACTCTTTGGCTGTGTGGAAAACTGCACTTTATGGACAACAGAGGCGAAGTTTGGAAGGCCATCATCGTCATAATTCCTTGTCTCGCGGCGACACTTGTTGCCGTTTCACGGATCATGGATGCGAGGCATCATCCTTTTGACGTGATCAGTGGGTCATTGCTGGGCATTGTCTGCGCCTACATCTCCTACCGCCAGTATTTCCCACCCATTTCCGAGCCGTGGAAGAAAGGGCGCGCGTATCCGATTCGAAGCTGGGGTACAGACCCTGTGGCACCCAGCAAGGCCTCGCCTCTGTCTGACCACTATGCGAGCACATCAGCTCTCCGGGACCCGGCGGAAGACAGGATAGACGCATCTGGTGCTCCTGAGATCGGTCCGGCGCGAATTTCTCCGACTTACATGGGTTCAGCTAACCCGTACACCTCGGACTTGCGCAACCGCCGATCCCATGACAATGATGGTGAATGGTCATCTTCCAGTGAAGATGTTGCAGATGGATACGAGATGCAGCGTGGCTATGCTCGTACACAGAATCCGGGAATCGGCGGGCTACCAAGATACGAAGCTGACACTTCATACCATTCTCAGACACAAACTGTGCTACCAGGCGTCACTGCTCCTCACGTACGGCCGGATCCAGTAGCCACTCGTCCAGGCAGAGACTCACAGTAAGAGTCGGTCGGATCTGCAGTTTCGGGATAAATGAGACTAGTTTTGGAGTGTGCGGATATCGCGCGTTTGCTCATAAACTGCCAAGTCCTGAAGTATACCCGTGCCATGATTGATGAATCTTTGTTCGAGTATAAAAAAGGGATCATGTTTCTATACATATGTCCCGCTGTATTTTGGTTAATCTGCTTGTCATTTTTTTTTTGGCGTTTGATAGATTTTGTAACGATTTCTATTTAAAAACGCAGCCGAATGGTTGTCGATCATACCAGGAGCATCAGCATATATCATTAATCAGTCAGCTAAATTCAATTTATTGAGTTACTGCATACGAAGCATAGACGGCATCTTCAAATGCTGGTACCTGACTGCTTTTAGCTCTCAGTTAAAGGTAGGCTGCAAATAAGCTAAAGATCAACCATGGCTAGAACCGCGTGGGAAATAGGCCGCTCGAGCCAACAGTGGATCGGTTACATACATGCTGCTATACTACTATCGACATCACTGCAAATGATAGAAGGACATGTCGATGTCTAATCAATCATTAAAAATGGAGAGTTCAGCTCTGGAGCAAGTAGCAACCAGGCACCGCATCTCCCCCACGTGTATGTGTCGATAATGATCCATGATGCTGGTTGCCCAGCCACCCCGCAATCCAGCAATCTGAGTCGCCCAGCCTCCCCTCCATCATGATCAGCTCGGAGAATATTTTCGGGAAGAGGCATTGTCTTTCTTGTCTTTCTTTTCCCCCTTTTGAATTTATGTGTTGCCATGATCTGACCTCGTTCTTGCATGCATAATTCCCTGATTCCACGTTTGAGCGTTCCCTCGTGCTTTGTGTTTGCTCAACATATTTCCGGCAGAGGTGTAGTGTACACAGCCTAACGCAAGAAGTTGTGGATAACACGAGTCTCTTGAACTTGCGCACATATCCTGTTTCTTCTCTAATCATCCTATCGCTGATACGTAACGACACTATCGGCTTTGATCAAAATCGCAAGCGCATTGTCTCCACATTTTGGACATTTGATCTCCTCACATACCTCAAGTCGGCATTTGACTTTATCCATCGAAGCAGTAGTCGGAAAAAGCAAGCGGACAAGATGATTGGAAGTCTGTTCTTCATCTTCAACCGCTTGGTGGAGATTGTATTCCTGATTCCGATCATTGGCATGATGGTAAGCAGATATACCTTTTTGGCATATGCATTTCCGGAGCCTAACATGCCGACCAGGCCTACTTCGTCGACGGCTATCTCAAAGCAAACCAGATCACCCCGCCCTACATCCTGGTGCTCTTTATCGTCAGCGTGATTGCCGTCTTCTGGGCCTTTGACACGCTCATCCGCCATTCGACCACGAAGCGCTCTGCGTTCTTCGTCGCCTTCGTCGACCTCCTCTTCTTCGGCGCTTTCATCGCAGGAGTCTACGAGCTCCGCTTCATCGCGGACGCCGATTGCGCTCACTGGAATGGCGGCTCTGTGTGGGTGTCGCTTGGCCCTTCGGGTACCTTGGCTACGAAAACCAGAACCACCTGTACCTGGAGATCAACAAGACGTGCGCGATGCTGAAGACTTGCTTTGCGCTGGGGATCATGGAGACGGTGTTCTTCTTCTGGACGGCTATCCTGGCGCTCTTTATCTACAGAAGGGACAGGGAAGTGGTCGTCAAGGAGACAACGACGGTGCGGAGGAGGAGCCACAGCAGCCGACGGGGTCATGGCCACAAGCATCGCAGCTCCTCGAGGAGTCGCCAGCACTATGTTGTCTGAGCATGATTGACGATAATGTTTTATGATTTATGGATATGCGATGACGTGAAAGATATGCAATTTGCTCCAAGAAACGAGGGGAGAAACAAGTGAACAGCGCAAGGACAAAGAGGTATTCAGGATTGGTGGTGCCAACGAAAGTTTGGCTTGATTCCAGGATGTCCCTTGAACTGACATACCTTGCCGGGCGAAGCCCAAATATTACGTATAAATGCCTCGCACACTGTTTGATCTTTGCGACGATTTGAAATACGATGAATCACGAGTCAGGTTGGAATTCTCGTTTCAGCTGTTTGCGCCCTGTACGTTATGTCTTTCCTGATACAGGTGTCCGCTACGTCGTCACCATCTAATGCTACCTACCTGCCCGTTTTGTTCTGCCCCAGCCCGTTTCTACATACTCCGTAGCCCTCGCTTGTTTCTTTTCAACCGGATAGGCTGTATGCAAGACGAATCACGTCTCTAGAACCAAGACTCGAGTGCATTGACAGTCATGGGGATCCCGGATCCCTACCTGAGATTTCGTGCAGGTCGAACCCGACCCTGCATCTCAGTTTCATCGACCCAGTCAACGACTAGATTAATTGTTGGTTCGTCTGTTGGCGACAAACCATGCCACGTATCGATATGTGATTTGAATTTCCTCATGACCGCATGGGTTGGGAGGCGATTATCTTCCGACCATAGGCCAGCCTCATACTATTTGCAGGCCCAACCAGGCAGATGCAACCGCTCAGGGAACCATCATGGACATGGGAATGGCTGCAGTCAGCTGTTGGAACGAGCATCTTATTCGTAGTTCGAAGCGAGTATCAGGGGCGAAAAACGAGTTCAGTCGCCAACCGTCAGCTCAGCAGTGTGAACCATGTCCTGGTAAGTGTCCGAGGATGATGATGGTGACAATGCATTGTTAGGCAGCGTGGTTCGAATACGACATGCATGAACTATTATTGCAGGCTGTCGATTTGGAGACATTAACGGGCGCGATTAAGTGGGGGTTGTGGTGCTCCGATAAGTCGATATTGTTGGCTGGGGCGTGTCGTTATCGCTCTGCTTGTTTTTCTGGCGAATTGCCACATGAGTTTGTAGGTGGATGGCTTATTGCCACGCCGTCGGGGATTTCCGCCCCTCGCCCATTCTTATCCTATTGTGGGGAAGCTGACCTTCGTCGTCTCTGAGCACGCAGATGCAACAGTTACCATCATCCCTGCCCTCATTGAATTACTGAACATATCCGAGTTATTTAAGGCAGAGAGATGTCTGTCCTGGAGGGCTCTCGTTGCTCAGGCCATTATTCATACTCACTGAAGTGGGATTCATATTCTCTGGACACCGGTCAATGAAGTTTTCGTCCGTCGGTAAGCTCCGACGAGTCTCTTATCTGTATACCGAACGTTGATTGAACTTCGACCCATCTCTGTCTGGTTTTCATATATCGAGTGTCGGCCTCCTGTTTGATATAGTCAATCTCGAGGCGATATATTGCTGTCCGGGTGTGAATCTTCCGGTGCTTGGTTGATCGCGTGCGGAGTTAGGTTGTCGCCACCTTATATCCGCATCGGCGCAACAGCTCGTTTGGATTATTCGCAGTCGAATTCTTTGAGGCAGAACTTTCTGGGGTGATAAGCGTTACAATATGGTGGGAGTCACAAGCTGTGAAGAAGAAATACTGGAGTATGGAATGGGATACTCGGAGAATGTGGACACAATCCGAGAGCGAGAGTATCCGCAGCTCAAAGGTGTGCCTCCTTCCCTTGACGAAGGTCACACTGTATTTGACCTTTGTACTCATCGATGTTGCAGATACGACATATTTGGATCATGCAGGAACCACGTTATATGCCAAATCACTGATCGAGTCCTTCTCTCGAGAGTTGACTTCGAACCTGTTCGGAAATCCCCATTCCTTGTCCGCCTCCTCCCAGCTGTCCACACAGCGCGTGGATGACGTGCGTCTTCGAGCCCTTCGCTTCTTCAAAGCAGACCCGGAAGAGTTTGATCTTGTATTTGTGGCCAATGCCACCGCGGCGATCAAGTTGGTTGCGGATGGAATGAGGGATTCGACACGGCAGGGATTCTGGTATGGGTACCATGTGGACGCTCATACGAGTCTCGTTGGTGTACGAGAACTCGCAGAGAAGGGAGGTCGGTGCTTCACCTCCGATGACGAGGTCGAAGCTTGGATCTCAAGGTTGAGTGATGTCCGGCTCGAGTCGCTTAAGTTGTTTGCCTATCCTGCGCAGTCGAATATGAATGGTCGCCGTCTGCCATTGTCATGGTGCAAGAGGATCAGAAATCAGGGGGCGACTGCCGGCGGAAACGTTTATACTCTTCTTGACGCGGCGTCTTTGGTTTCGACCTCGCCTCTCGATTTGAGTGATGCATCCGCCGCGCCGGACTTCACCGTTTTAAGTTTTTACAAGATCTTTGGTTTTCCAGATCTTGGTGCGTTGATCGTCCGCAAGAGTGCTGGACAGATCTTTGAGCACCGCAAGTATTTCGGAGGAGGCACTGTGGATATGGTCCTGACACGTGGGTTGCAATGGCATGCGAAAAAGCAATCTTCTATACATGATCGGCTGGAGGACGGCACCCTCCCGTTTCACGATATCATTGCCCTCGACTCGGCGTTTGCAACTCATGAGCGTCTCTTCGGCTCGATGCAAAATATCTCGTCTCATACCCGCTTTCTTGCAAAGCGCCTGTATGACCGACTAAACGCCTTGAGACACTTCAACGGGCAGAGAGTCTGCGAGCTTTATAAGTCTCCACTATCAGACTACAACCGGCCCTCCACACAAGGCCCTATCATTGCGTTCAACCTCCGCAACGGCCAAGGGTCATGGATCGGAAAGTCTGAAGTTGAGAGACTTGCAGCAATGAAAAACATCCAAATTAGATCCGGCTCCCTGTGCAACCCGGGAGGCACATCGGGGAGCCTTGGGTGGACGGGAGCTGACTTGCTCCAACAATTTTCAGCTGGTCTGCGTTGTGGAGATGACCACGATGTCATGGACGGCCGGCCGACTGGCGTCTTAAGGCTCAGCCTTGGAGCGATGACTAACTTGGAGGACATCGATACCTTTGTCGAGTTTGTCGAGGAGTTTTATGTCGAGAAAGTGCCAATTGTGGACTCTCTGGTTACACCAGTACACAGTGTGCCACTTCAGCAACCCCGCTTCTATATCGAAAGCCTGTCTCTTTATCCGCTCAAGAGCTGCGGACCATTCAGAGTTCCTGATGGAAGACGCTGGGAGGTCAGAAGGGAGGGGCTGGCTTGGGACCGAGAATGGTGTCTTATCCACCAGGGTACTGGTGCTGCCTTGAACCAGAAGAAGTATCCTCGTATGGCTCTCATTCGACCTTCTATCGACCTTGACCGCAATGTGCTGCGTGTCACTTGCGGGGAGCCGGGTTCAACTGATCAGAAGCTCCTGGAAGTGTCTCTCCTGCGTGAGGACACAGAATTGGCCACGACCTCCCTTTGCCAGCGAACGTCAAAGGCCTCTACAGTTTGTGGAGACCAGGTGACTGTACAGGCTTATACCTCTCGCTCCGTCGCGCAATTTTTCTCCGATTTCCTTAGTGTGCCTTGCACACTGGCACGATTTCCACCACATTCCTCAACCAGATATGCTTCACCCCGGAAGCCCTCAGGCGCTTGGAAACAGTACCTGAGGAAGTTCGTGATGCCTGGCTCTTTCCCTCAAGACCCTTCGCCGCCTCCTGCGGAGAAAAATCCCATTCTCCTGTCCAACGAGAGTCCGATCCTCCTTATATCGCGCTCTTCTGTGAATTACTTGAACGAGAACATCAAAGCCAGTCAAAAGAAAAATCAGACGGGGACAAGCAAAGCCGTAGCCGCTGACGTCTTCCGGGCCAATATCGTCGTCGCGGAGAGTCTCACAGACTCGCCCAAGGTGGAGCAGCCATACATCGAAGACCAGTGGGAGGCCCTCAAAATTGGACCTGAAGAGCTTCGGTTCGATGTACTTGGTTCCTGTCAACGATGCTCGATGGTCTGCATTGACCAATTTACCGGTGTCCGTCGCGACGAGCCCTTTTCGACGCTGGCAAAGACCAGGAAAATCAACAACAAAATTGTTTTTGGGAGACATTGCTCTCTTTCTGCGTCAGAAGTTACGCAAGAGCAGCATGATAACGCGGAGCGCTGGACGCTGATGGTTGGCGATATCGTTACTCCTTCGTATGCGCATGATTACGACTTATGAGAATCATCTGATTGCCTAGTTTGGATTTGGCGTTTGATACCAGCGTCTCGTTTTGGTGACATGTATATGAGACCACTCAATCTTCTGAATATTATTGCCACTTATATAATAGTGCTTGCATAGGCCAAGTTGTCGAGGCTGTCCAGTTCTGGAGTCTGATTTTGAAGGGTTCAGTATACATACAGAGTAATACTATGAAACATGGAACGCTTTGTGCAATTTTTGCTAGAACATCTATTTGTACAGTACATATGCAAACAAGAACTCCCATCCCAAACCCCGTCAATGATCCATATAGAAATCTTAGCCAAGCTGTGTGAGTCGAGGATTGGCAGATAAAACAGATGCGACATGATGAAATCCCGTGCGATAGCAAAGATATTGACATATATACGTTCACCTCTTGGGCCATTGCTTCCAGCCACGACCATGACCTCTCTGTGCATTGCATCAAATTAGCCTCGACACCTTCCAACCGCACACTAAACATCAACAGAATGCTTACCTGCTTCCACAACCGGATCATCTCCGGCATCTCCATCATAGCCTTGCGCCTGTCCTCCAAACGAGCCTCCATCGTCCGTTCCCACTTGTGACCCTTGACCTTCTGTCCAACACCGGTACCCTTGATCGCCAGTCCGCGCTCCGCCCGTCTCGTCTCCTTATACTCGGTCGACTTGCGCCCAGGCGGCAGCAACGCCTCCACGTTATACTTGATAGCCAACTTGACCAGCTCCGCCTGTCTCCTCAGCCCGATGGGCGGGCCGATCCACTTGCCATTGCGGAAGTTCTTGCGTGGCAGGAAAGGGTTGGGATGTTCCGGGTTGGAGTAGAGGATCGATTTGGACGGGGAGAAAGCTTTCGGGTCGGGCTTTTTGAAGCCCTTTGCGTCTCGGTTGGGCGTGTATGGCGATGGAAGGGATTCCTCGGCCGCAGGGGCTGGCGTTTCGGGCTCAGTGACGGGAGGGCGTACGGCCGCGGAGTAGATTTGCGGAGGATAGCGGGCGAAGAAATTGCGTAGACGGAGGGGGAGCTTGCTCACCAGGTCGGTGGCTGCTGTTGTGGTGGACATGGTGAAATGTAATAAGCCCAAGCCAGAAACCCCGAGTAAATGTGTGAGGTCGGGGACGTGGGATAGATAATGTTGTGTTGGCGATCGATAGCTTCAAAGGAAATACTCTTAGATGTGCTATGAGAAATTCCACAGCCCGGGGTGCGGCTAAGCCACATTAGATGAGGCTTGGCAGCGAGGAAAGGCGGCCGCTGTGTGGCTGGTGACGGTGGCTTCCTCACTTTCTGAAGTTCTACCTATCCTGGCGGAACTCTGCCTCTCTCCCGCAACCGTCTTACTTTTGTTATTCAGGAGTCTACGTCTCCTCCATTCATTGCATTTTCTCTTTGTCAAGACTCTCCACTCATCGCCTATCACTCCTTCTCGCTTGTCCTCGCGCTGCTGGTACCTTTGAGTGATTGCCATTATGGCGGACTACAACTATGGAGGTTCCGAGGAGGAGAACGCCGAGTTGAGAAAGCTTGAGACCGAACTTGTATGATCCTGATTCGCCCTTGTCTGGTTGCGAAGCGCAAGTGTTGTAGCTGACAAATGCTCGTTTAGGCCGACGACCCTGACTACTTCGAGACGTGGGAGAAGCTTGTTCGCGCTGCCGAGGCGCTGGAGGGTGGAATCAATCGCAACTCCAATCCGCAGGCCATAACAACTGTCAGAAACGTCTTCGATCGGTTTTTGGCTAAATTTCCCTTGTTGTTCGGATACTGGAAGAAATATGCCGACCTGGAGTTCTCCATCACTGGTACAGAAGCAGCGGACATGGTATGAAAGCTCTCTCTCTCCACTGCGCATGTTCGGTGCTAACTTCGGGTTTCCTAGGTCTATGAACGGGGAGTTGCTAGCATCTCATCGTCCGTTGACCTTTGGACCAACTACTGCTCCTTCAAGGCGGAGACTTCCCATGATCCCGACATCATTCGAGAGTAAGTATACTATAGCTGGTTTCCTTTCCTTCCCTGTAACCGTTACCGACACAGCGCGGACCTTATCGTGGTGCCGAATATGCATGATGCAAGATTTCACTGGCAACAAATCCCTTGATGATGGGTGAGATTGTCGCCTTACCCAGGTTCAACTGAAGTTTACTTCTCACCCTTGGCTTCTTCAGGCTGTATCCTTTCCCTTGGTGAAATTGATTTGACCTCAAGCACCACTTCCTTGCACGGACACCAAGACCAGTAACTCTGTTCGGAGACTGCTTCTTGCGCGCACGATGCGCAGGGAGGGGGAAGGAGATCCTTCCCTCAGTCTGATCATCCTACTCGTTGAATTGTTTGGGCTCGCGCACTGATTAGTTAAAACTGATGTTTGCCATCCTTGCCATCCCCCCTTTCCGTATACCCTTCTCGACCCCGTTTCTGCTCAAACAATGTACTAGTTGTCGGCACTAACATACTTTTCTGCAGGTTATTCGAGCGAGGAGCGAGCAGCGTTGGATTAGATTTCCTGGCGCATCCCTTCTGGGACAAATATATCGAATTCGAAGAACGAGTCGAAGCTCCTGAAAAGATCTTTGCCATTCTTGGCCGCGTTATCCACATTCCAATGCATCAATATGCTCGTTACTTCGAAAGATATCGCCAACTTGCACAATCTCGTTCGTTATCAGAATTGGCGCCTGCGGAGACTCTGTCTCAATTCCGCGCCGAGCTTGAAGCGGCCGCTGGCCAGATACCCCCGGGCGCAAAGGCAGAAGCAGAAATCGAGAGGGATCTCCGGCTCCGTGTCGACGCTTACCACCTTGAAATTTTCTCAAAGACACAGACAGAGACTACCAAGCGATGGACCTACGAGTCGGAGATTAAGCGCCCATATTTCCATGTCACAGAGCTGGACGAGGGTCAGCTAACCAACTGGAAGAAGTATCTCGATTTTGAAGAGGCAGAGGGATCATATCCTCGAATTCAGTTCTTATACGAGCGTTGTCTCGTGACATGCGCTCATTACGACGAGTTCTGGCAACGCTATGCTAGATGGATGTCTGCCCAGCCTGGCAAGGAGGAAGAGGTGCGGAATATCTATCAACGTGCAAGCTGCCTCTATGTTCCAATTGCAAACCCCGCGACGCGCCTCCAATACGCATATTTCGAAGAGATGAGCGGCCGGGTGGACGTTGCTAAGGATATCCACGATGCGATCCTTGCCACCCTACCGAACCATGTGGAGACTATTATCTCCTTGGCGAACATGTGTCGTCGTCATGGTGGTCTTGAGGCAGCGATTGAAGTGTACAAGAATCAGTTGGATTCACCTCAGTGCGACCTGGCTACCAAGGCTGCGCTTGTTGCTGAGTGGGCTCGCCTCCTGTGGAAGATCAAGGGCTCAGCCGAGGATGCGCGTCAAGTCTTCCAGAAGAATCAGCAGTACTACCTGGACAGCCGTCCATTCTGGAACAGCTATCTCATATTTGAGTTAGACCAGCCCACGAGTGCTGCCACTGAGAGCGTTCAATACGAACGTATCAAGCAGGTGGTTGATGACATCCGTTCTAAGAGTGCCCTTTCACCCGACGTTGTGAGGGACCTCGTTCAGATCTATATGGTCTACTTGCTTGAACGGGGAACCAAGGACGCAGCGAAGGAGTACATGACTCTTGATCGCGAAGTCCATGGTCCCGCCTCTGTGGCTCATACCAAGACTGGAGGCGCAGTGCAAGCCCCGCAGAACGGCAGTCAGGCGGCACCTGTGGCGCCTGTTGTGGACCCAACAGTCGCTGCCGCCGCCGCCGCTGCTGCTCCGCAAACCAGCCCATATCCTTACTATCAACAGACTCCAGTCAATGGTGGTGTAAGTGCTTAGTTGGCATGTGTGATCTCAGCAATAGACACTGGCTGACTGCTGCCATGGGTTAGTACCCGTCTCAGCCCGTCCCCTACCGATAAGGTAAACGGCTTCCTCATGCTTTTCTCTTTGTCTCCGGTAGGAGCCATCTCCCTTGTAGAACAACACAAATAGCGGTTCTGTCGCATCAAATGCAAAGGGTCGTCACAATCTCGGCGGACTCTGCTTCTCCGCCTCTACTTCTCAAATGATATCATGCCAGTGATTGGGTGGAATTATGGATTTGGACATTTCTTTTTCAATCGTGTACTCTAATTCTAGGTCGCAATGCCACTGAGACTTCATGTACTCCTTTGCTGTTTTTGCGTACACTGGTAATATGGGTCGACAATCACGTGACTGCGCGTCGAGATTCTATGCCTTTCCGTAGAAATTCGAGATACGCTTCACTTATCAAAGGGTCCGCAACCGCTACTTGCGACATAGTTCCCCGCAACCATCATGGATGGCATCATTTCAAACGGCTCCCCGGGTGCGCCTGTTACCCAGCCCCCTCCTGAACCCTTAGAAAGACCTCCTACACCACCACCTCCGCCTCCCCCAGAATATTCCGCCGCCCCTCCTCCGCCCCCGGACACTTCCGTGCCGCCACCACCGCCGGAAGATGCTCCTCCAGCTCCCCCTCCAGAGAAGAACAAGAAGGTAGGGTGGGGCGCGAAACGCCCAGCAGTGACGCCGTTGAGTGTAGAGGAACTTGTGCGGAAGAAGAGAGAGGCAGATGCCGCAGCGGCCAAGGTAGGTTTGCCTCCGAACACGGGGACTACGCGCTGAACACAATAGCTGATACTTTGACTTACTACGCAGCCGAAATTCTTGTCCAAAGCTGAGCGAGAGCGGATTGCTCTAGAGAAGCGCGCCAAGGAGGTGGCAGCAGGGCGACGATTGAAATCAGAACCATCCACCAACGGTACAGATCGGAGCGGGACGCAATCACCGTCAGTTTACTCCGAGACTCCCAATGGCGATGAAAGGTCGATACCCACCGGTCCGCGAGCTATGCGAAATTCAGAAGTCCCGACTGGTCCCGCCCCGATGCGCAACAAGAACTACGATATGTTGCCGCCGCCTCCGCCGAAAGCTATGTCGTTCAGTCTAACGGATGGGAAAGGAGACAGCAAGCGCCAGGCGGAGGAGGACGAGGCGGCGGCCCAAGCTGCCTTGATCAAGCAGAAGTACATGGGAACGGAGAAGACGTCGAGTTTTTCAGCGAAGAAGAAGCGCAAGAGGACGACGGATCGAAAGTTCAATTTCGAGTGGAATACGGAGGAGGACACGAGCGGGGATTATAACCCGTTGTATCAGCAGCGACATGAAGCCAACTTCTACGGGCGTGGCCGGTTGGCTGGTTTCGGAGACGATGTGGCCGATACATTAGCGCAGAAGTATGCCAGGGCTTTGGAAGACCGCGATCGGGAAGCTGGAAGCATCAGAGCCCGAGAGATATTGGAGATGGAGCGAAGACGAAGAGAGGAGAGTACGCGGAACCAGCTCGACAAGCACTGGAGCGAGAAGAAGTTGGAGCACATGCGCGAGAGGGACTGGCGTATCTTCAAAGAAGATTTCAACATCAGTACCAAGGGCGGCAGTGTGCCGAATCCCATGCGGTCATGGGAGGAATCTGGCCTTCCCAAGCGGCTCCTGGAGCTTGTGGACCAGGTTGGATACAAGGAGCCCACACCGATCCAGAGAGCTGCGATCCCTATTGCTCTGCAATCACGAGATCTCATTGGTGTTGCCGTCACAGGTTCGGGTAAAACAGCGTCATTCTTGCTCCCACTGCTGGTATACATCTCGGAGCTGCCCCGGATTGACGAATTCGAATGGAGGAAGAACGACGGTCCATACGCCATCGTCCTAGCCCCTACTCGAGAACTGGCACAGCAGATTGAGATCGAAGCCAGGAAGTTCACACAACTGCTCGGGTTCAACGTCGTCAGTATCGTCGGTGGCCACTCCTTGGAAGAACAAGCGTACAGTCTCCGAAACGGCGCGGAGATTATCATCGCCACCCCCGGGCGTCTAGTCGACTGTATCGAGCGCCGTCTCCTCGTGCTCAGCCAGTGCTGCTACGTCATCATGGACGAAGCCGACCGAATGATCGATATGGGCTTCGAAGAGCCCGTGAACAAAATCCTCGACGCCCTCCCCGTCACCAACGAGAAGCCCGACACGGAAGAAGCCGAGAACTCCGCCGCCATGAGAAGCCACCGCTACCGCCAGACAATGATGTACACAGCCACCATGCCCTCGGCCGTCGAGCGCATCGCCCGCAAATACCTCCGCCGGCCCGCCATCGTGACCATCGGCAGCGCCGGCGAAGCCGTCGACACCGTTGAGCAGCGCGTCGAGATGATCGCCGGCGAAGACAAGCGCAAGAAGCGGCTCGCCGAGATCCTCTCCTCGGGCGAGTTCCGGCCCCCGATCATCGTCTTCGTCAACATCAAGCGCAACTGCGACGCCATCGCCCGCGAAATCAAACAGATGGGCTTCTCCTCCGTTACCCTGCACGGAAGCAAGACCCAGGAACAGCGTGAAGCCGCCCTGGCCTCCGTGCGCAACGGCTCGACCAACGTCCTCGTCGCCACCGATCTCGCCGGTCGTGGTATCGACGTTCCCGACGTCAGTCTCGTCGTCAATTTCAACATGGCTCACTCCATCGAAAGCTACACGCATCGTATCGGTCGTACCGGTCGTGCTGGTAAGAGCGGTGTGGCTATCACTTTCCTCGGCAACGAGGATGCAGACGTCATGTATGTCCCACCCACTCCCTTTCTTCCCATTCTCGGAATCATCTAGAGGGCTATGGTATACTGACTTTACTACTACAGGTACGATCTCAAGCAGATGCTCATGAAGTCGCCCATTTCCCGCGTCCCCGAAGAACTGCGCAAGCACGAAGCCGCCCAGTCCAAGCCTAACCGGGGATTTGCGAAAAAGAGCGACGACAGTTCAGGGTTTGGGAATAAAAGTGGGTGGCAGTAGAATAACGTAGACCCCATCATGCTGTATACCCTTATGACTATGTACCTATTTGCTCAGTGAAGAGACATTCTTACGGTGCTCCAATATGCGTTCTGGCCCTTCAAGGTCGGAGATATCAAACCTTAGGTCTTGTGGTGCGAATACACAACCAGTAAGAAGCACATGCCTCATTTTTTCAGTGACTGTTTTTGGTGGCCTGTATTTGTACCAAGCATCAAGCTCCGTGCTCTTCGGTCTTCCAATGTACGCATCGTAACTCAGGATTTCACAAAGCTGCACAGCGAGATCTCTCATTTAAGTCTGGTTTTGTAACAACTCTAAAATTATGGTATATATCTGTTATCTTTACAACTTCTCATCCCTGAGGTAACCGTTCGACTTCAGCCAAGACTCAACGTCAGCGCGGTCACGCTTCAGCCATTGGACCTTGGCCCGGATAGCATCCAGACTCTGCGAAACCGCACGATCATAGCCCTAGATATTCCATTAGTCATGTATCCCTTGAAACTGACGGCCGCCGAAACTCACCTTGGTATCTTTGTTCTCAAAGAATGCCTGCACATCCTTCAACTGCTCCTCGGTGCAGAAGCTGGCAGTGCAGAGCTGGACAACTGTGCCCAGCATACCCAGTGCAGGGGGCAGACGCTTGTAAAGGGCGTCCCAGTTCGTCTTCATCCAGTCCCAACGGGCTTCAATGGCAGCAGGCGAGCCACGGAGTCCTCCGAGAGGCATGTAGATATCCTGGTTCTTAACCTCGTCACTGCTGGCCAGGCCCAGAGTACGCTGAATCAGAGCGGGATCTTCGGCAGAACCGAGGCAGCGCAGCGCAGTTGTCTTCTCATCAGAGGTGGGAGCGTTGCGGAAACGGTCCAGTACGACATTGTATTCCTTCTCTCCGCCGTTTTTGAGGACGATGGAGAAGACACTACCACGGATGTTAGGGTGGATGGCACTCAGGTCACCAGCAGCAAATCGCTGGAACATGTCCTGAGCGGCCTTGACGACAACAGGGTCTTCGGCCATTCCGGCGCTACCGAACATAAGAGCCTTGAACTGTTGCAGGATATGGCCGTCCTTGTCAGAGAACTCCCAGCCGAGTTCCTGTGCCTTGCTGCTGACAAGAGAGCGCTGGAAGGCCTTGAGAGCATCCTTTGTCTGGCTGTCCTCGAATATCCAGGCGGCTCTCAGCGTACCGACACGGGTCAGGATTTCGTTCCAGACGACAAACTCAGCTTCACTATCAAAGCCCTTCAGGAGGGACAGCAGACCAGAAGTGCTCTGATAACCAGACGCAGCCAGAGCACCAGCATCTGCGATCATACCTGCACGATCCTCGACGGTCAAAAATCCCTTCTTGGCTGCTTCTCCCAGCTTGCTGAGCCGCTCGGGTGGGTAGGAAGTGCGGTAGATGGCGGAATGATCAGCATTCAGCTTGTAAAAGTCAAGGTCAGGAACCTTGAATTCACCCTCACGTTCAGTGAGCATTGTGTTCTCATCAATGCCCTGCTTGGTACGCAAGCCCAACATGACGGGGTACAGTGTTGTGTCTTCTTCGGGACGCACATCGCCGGTGCGCAGGAAACGGTTTTGCTTCAGCTTGATGGAAGAAGCGCTGGGATTTTCCGTCACAGAGACGACAGGGAAACCAACATTCTTGGTCCAGATGTCCATCACGTTCTCCACCGGTTTGCCACTGGCGTCAGCAAGGGCGGACCACAGGTCACCGGTCTGAGTGTTGCCGTATGCGTGCTTCTTAATGTAGTTACGTACGCCCTGGAGGAATACATCTTCTCCAAGGTATTTGGAAATCATGCGGAGGACGGAAGAGCCCTTCGAGTAGGAGATGGCGTCGAAAATCTGATTAATCTCATCTGCCCGTTTCACAGGCACTTCGATGGGGTGACTGCTGCGCAGAGAGTCCAGAGAAAGCGCGCTCTGCAGATTGTCGATGACATACGTCTGCCAGACCTTCCACTCCGGGTAGAACGCGTTGCAAGAGTACCACGACATCCATGTAGCAAACCCCTCATTGAGCCAGAGGCCGTCCCAGAAATCCATGGTAACCAGGTTTCCGAACCACTGGTGCGCTAGCTCGTGCTGAACGGTCTCAGCAATGCGCTCCTTCCGAGAGGCACCGCTGGCCTTCTCGTCCAACAAGAGATCAACGATACGGTAGGTGACAAGACCCCAATTTTCCATAGCTCCAGCACTGAAGTCGGGCACAGCTACCATGTCCATCTTGGGCAGCGGGAACTCGCTATCAAAAGCCTTTTCGTAGAAGGCCAAAGTTCTGGCAGCAAGATCCAGGGAGAAGCGGCCATGCTCGATGTCCTGATCTGGAGTTGCATAGACACGGATAGGGACACGGAAATCCTTGGTCTCGATGTACTTCAGATGGCCGACAATGAAAGCGACCAGGTATGTGGACATCAGGGGAGTGGTGTTGAACTTGACGGCCTTCTTAGCACCTCCCTGAACTTCGGTCTCGGAAGCGACGTCCATGTTGCTTAGGCAAGTCATGCTCTTATCAGCAATCAAGGTGACCGTGAACTTGGCCTTGAGTGCGGGCTCGTCGAAACAAGGGAAAGCCCTGCGAGCATCGGTAGGCTCCATCTGGGTTGAGGCGATGTACTTCGTCTCGCCATTGGCCAGCTTATACGATGAACGGTAGAAGCCAGCCATGTTGTCGTTGAGAATGCCAGTGAAGGTGAGCTTCAATTGCGCCGAGGATCCAGCGGGGATGGTTTCGGCAAACTTGATGGTGGCCGTCTGGTTGTCCTTGCTGATTGAGACATCGGGGCTCGATGTGACAACGGAGCCCTGGGACGAGACGACGGCTTTCTGAATATCAATCTCATTGGTATTGAGGGAGATGGAGGTCGTATCTTCGGCAACATCGAGACTATACGTGGCATCAGTGCCCCGAGCCTCCGTAGCAGGCAAACATCCCGAACAGAAAACCTACTCAATAATCACGGTACCGTCATATGTGAACTTCTCGAAATTGGGTTCAAGAGTAAGGTCATAGTGCACCGGCTTGACATTGGTAGGCAAGACCTCACGACCATGGGTGACGTTGGTCGAGCCCGAAGGCACGTCAGCGCGGCGGGACACGCACATCCTTCGATAGGAGCAGTAGCGTTTTGCAACTTGGGAAAGAGGGAAGCGACGGGGGTGATTCGATTGACAGGAGTTGATGGGGAGGAGGAGAAGAGAGAGGACGATCGAGAGAGGAGAAGGAGGGGCTTTGTAGAGGGAGAGGAAAGCGGTGGCCTTGCTGAGTTCAGAACCAGCGGTAACCGCGCAGAGGAGAATCGACGCATGAACCCCGCCGGACGTAGAACAGAGAGGAAAGAGGGAGAAAATGGGGGCAGGCGGAGGAAGAGGGAGGAGGAGACTCAATTGATCAGAATGACAACAGTTACAACGGATGGTGAACAATGGTAGAGACAGATCTGTAGAACTGGCTACAATCGGCATCAACCGCCGAAGAAAACGATGTCGTTTGGTCCGAAATGGAAGGCGGTGAAAATAAAGCGTTCATAATGGGCTCGTAACTTACACTATACAGTACATTACACACAGATACCCTCACCGCTTTAGAACCATCAAGGGCAGTCAAGCTCGCAGGTAAACTAAGCCTATACGAGACATAACCTATCACGTGACATTATGGTTTTTCCTTTTGAATCTTTCATGGTTCATTCTTCCCTCCTCATCATTCTTTACGCAAGTCAAAACGGCATATGCCAGGCTTCCTTTTGAGAAGTACATTGTGGCAGATGCCTTTTTCTATGCCCATGTGGCATTACTTGCAAGACGGTTCTCCAGTCAGTTTGAGGGGTTCATGACAGCAATTATGCAAATCTCGTGGATGGGCTTCCATAGAGGACTGGGACAAGAGGCAACCTTAAGATGAAATTTTTGAATACTATCTTGAATCAGGAAAATCTTTTAGGGTACTCTCTATTGGGGTACTTGTGAAATATGTAAATCTATTTGTGCAACAAAAATTCAAGATGCTTGTTGAATGCTGTCTATTAAATGCCTCCAAACTCCGAAGATATACCAGGGTATCCAGTTCGTCCCTTTATACACATTAAAATTATGCCATGAAGGCAAGATGTTGAATCATGTCGTCGTAACCGGAGAATCCCATCTGCCGCCGCTTGGCTGACAAGAGAGACTCAAAAAGAGAGATCAAACTCGCTCAGCTTCCGCGAGCGGCAGTCGAGTGAAAACGCTTCTGGACCAGCCATCAGCGTCAACCACGGTTTCTTTGACTAGCATGTAGCGACCAAAGCGTGGCATCAGAATCGCCCACACCACATAGTATATCGCGCCCAAGGCAAAGATGCCGAGCGCCACGACACAGTGGAGGTAGTAGGGAAGTTCTTCGTAAACACTCTGTCCCTCCGAGGGCGGAATGTATGGTGCAATGACCAGGTATATGTTGGATAGGAAGAAGAAGATGGTGACTGGGAGGGTCGCGCGGATCCCGGGGCCCAGTCAGGAAAGCGTGTTGAACGTGTGAGGTAGATATAGATAAGACCGCCGGACACGAAGACGTTCACAATGGATAGAGGATAGGAGATCAGGCTTTTGACGGATTAGCAGCGCCTCAGGCTGAAATTATGCAAGGACGGACTCACTTGAGCAGGAAATTGTACGCATCACCCGGCGGGGGAGCCAGCATAATGATGACCGAGACGACCCAGTGCTCAAACAGACCGGCAGCTGGCGAGTGGAACGGCTTGTTACTCGCCCAAAGCCCCGAGAAGGGCAAAACACCCTCACGACCAAGTTCTTGGACAACTGCCGACCTTGTTAGTTCTTGAGACAACACCACGGGCAACGAGCTTGAACATACTTCGTCCTTGAGAGAAGATCACGGACAACACATTTCCAAAAGCCGACAATGCCACGAAGACCGACATCACCTTCTCAGCACGAGCACCGAACATGTTCCCAAAGAATTTGGCTGCCACAGTTTGGCCCGACGAGAGCATATCTTCCTTGGACACGGCAGCAAAGTAGGCGATGTTGCACAGCATGTAGAGGATGCCCACGGATCCGATAGCGATCGGCGCCGCAATCTTCAGCGTGCGTACAGGGTTCTTCGTCTCGCTCAGAGCCTATCTTGCAGTCAGAATACCAGTTCGAAAAGATAAGTCACGACTGCGAATGACTTACATAGTTGGCGTTGGAGTATCCGATGAACGACCAGATGACGTTGTACAACGCCATGACAATACCATAACCGCTGCCAGTTGTGCCCTCAAAAGCATTCTTAAAGTTATGAGGCGTCTCAGCCTTGGTATGACCGGCTAGGGCCACCCAGCCAGCAACAATGACAAACACGATAATGACCAGCTTGATCACACCAAGCAAGTTCTGGAGACGGAGACCCCATTTCACAGCAAGAGCGTGAATGAGGAAGGCAGCAGTGACACAAGCCAATCCAATACCGCGCTGATTCCACCGATTGACCTCCACATCGGCAGCATTGAGGATATACTCGCCAAACACAACACTGTTGCTGGCGGCCCAACCCAGCAAGACGGCGTACGCAGCGAACATGGCCGTAGCCAGGAACTTGGGTTTTCTGTAGACGTATTCGAGGTAATTCTTCTCGCCACCGTTCCTAGTAGTCATCATGAGTTTGGTGAAGTCCATATAGGTTGCAGGAGGACATACTTCGGAATAGCAGTACCCCATTCCAAATACACCGCGGTACCTGCCATGGCGATGGCAGTACCCGCAACCCACATGAAGAGCGACAGACCAACACTACCACACAATCCCAAAATCGTTGCCGGAGTGGCAAAGATACCCGTACCGATAACACGGTTGAAGATCAGGAAAGACGCACTGACGACGCCGATCTGGCGACGGTCGTCTGGTGTCGCATCAAAAACATTGCCCTCGTCTGGACAGAAACATCAGCCCCGATATCTCCCTAATGCAGCGAACATAGAGTAGGACATACACAGCTGGGAGACTCCGTCCGCCCTCCGTGGGGTTTCGCTGAACGGCTTGTCCTCAGGCATGGCGCCTTTCTGATAAATCGACTCTGTTACCGGGTCGCTCATAGTGTAGCTCGTGCAATAATGCCTACTTCGAAGGGACTGCTTTTCTGGCTCCTTGAGCACGAGAGCAGCTCAATTTCAATGCAGGAGCAAGTAGGCACTATGCGGTCAAGGGCGGTTAGCGATGGCAAGATATGGATTAAACATGATGATGTGCTGGGTCTAAATATGATGCAATGGCCAATCCCTGTCAGCGGAGCAGATACCTTGTCAGAAAAGAGAGCTCAAAAAATAAAGAGTGTGAAAATGCTCGCGGGCATCAATCGGAGGTATAGTTCGGGATGCCGAGTCGCCGTCAATGCTTCATATTTCAGTCCAACGAAGCCGCGAAAAGAAGGAAGGAAAATATGCAACAAGAATGATTCAATGAACTACAGAAGAGTAGGGAGAAATGGAGTCAAAATTAAAGAAAAATAGAAAAGGATGATATCAATCAAGATGCGTGTGGCACTGACTGTGACATTCGCCATGTGGCCGGCGGATTGTGCCAAACCGCCAATGGAGCCGGAAAAAAAAAAATTTCCTGGGCGCAGCGGAACCAGGAGGCTTGGGAGTCTCCACCAACAGCACGCTCAGCAGCTTGTTGAATCGTAGAAGGAAGCGGCCATGACACATAGAAATCGATCACGCAATTTTCGTCACTTCTCGAAGCTCGCCAGCTGGGGTTGATCACCTAGTGCTGTGAGCCTTTTTGGCGCCAGCTCCGTCTAGACTGTCGGTACCTAGCATTACGCTAATTATTGCAACTAAACCGCCATCGTCCAAAGTTCCATCCGCCGCTCCAAAGAGCACCGAAATCAACACTTGAAAAAAAATAATCAATCCCAGTAGGAAGATAGGTAGTTTTCGTCTTGATTCTTTATGTACAGAAATGTAAGGTTCGTCGGACTGGTAATAATTAGTACGCCCCGAATCAATACCATGATCATGCACCCTGGACTCCCAAATCGATTCACTCGCAGCCATGAATCATCCCAAGTGGTCAGACAATCTGTGTATATCCGTCAAAAACTTCAACGCCGGAAGGCTCAGCCTGTAAATGAAAAAAAGCAAAATGGATATAGACTAGTCAAGAAAAATTCGATCCGGGGCAGTAAATATGAGCCTCGATCGATCGATAAGCAAATGCGCTTGGAAACTAGGGTCCCAGTGGAAATGAATAAGAAATGCCTGCGGCGAGCCGATAGGTAATAGGTAGAATGGTCATCAAACACATGTCGCATCAAAGACATAATGCAGCTGAAGGGTCAGATTGCCTTCATGTAGGGCATTCTCAGCAGAAGAAATAAGTCGGAGTGGACTGAGATAATCAACAGAGGCCCCATGCTTACTTCGGTGGTGTTGCAGCCACGGGGACCGGAGTTGATGGGGCCATCTTGCCGGGAACATTAGCAGAGGGTGTCGGTGCTCGTTTCGCAAGAATCGCCAGCTTCTTGCGAAGAGCTGCCAGCCGACTCCGGATGCTGGAGACAACTGCATGTATCGTCAGCACTAGTTGGTTTCCTGCTCGGCGGGGAGCGACTCACGCTTTATCACCACTTGCCGTTCTTCAGCCTGTACCGCATCAAGTACAATTTTGTCACTATCCTTGGACGTGTCGTCTTTGCCCTGCCCAAATCGCGGTACTTCGCCATTCTCCAGTACAGCTTCCAGCATTCGAATGGCCGTCACGTACGCTATTTCGCACCCAGACAGATCCTCGCCAGTGAGCTCGTTAATAGCCGCCGTGCGACTCATTTCCAGCGCACGATCATACATAAGCTTCTCTGCGGAGACGCCGGGGCTCACAACAACGTCCACAGACGCCCCGGAGCCCAGCGAAGAGCCAACGGAGTGGTTGTCGGGATGGCTAGGATGGTCGGGCGGCAACCGCTTTTGTGCCTCGATTAGCTTGAGACGGACGAATTCTCCCTTCTCTAACACTTCGTTGAATCGGTTTCGCACCCACTGAACGACATTGTTGATGCGGGTTCCAGCAAGTGTACTCGCCCCATCGGCTCTGCTCATGGCTGTATCCCCAAAACCATCTCCGCGATTCTTCCGCGCCCACCAGGCCCCTGCTATGTCCATCGATTTCGCCAGTAAAGAGAGCGCTTTGACATAAAGAACCAAGGCTTCCTCCGACAACGTCACAATAGCATCTACCGTGAGACCTCCATCAGCCGAGTCAGGATTCTCCCTCTCTCCGGCCAGATTGCCTTTAGATGATGGGTCGGTCTGGACCGACGGGGCAAGGGGAACAAGCTGCTTGTATTTGACTTCAGCAAATCCGTATACGACGTCACTGCGAGTAGCACATTCTTCCAGAATTTGGACAGTTTTTGTATCCTCATCCAGGGCCACAATATTCTTCGCCCCGTCTCCAATCATCAAGCTGCCATGCGCGGGATATGCGGGAAATGGATTGTAAGCGAGAGGAGGCGACCGTCCCCCCTTCGTAATGGCCAGCGGCGGAGAAAATCCCATGCCAAACAAGCGTCCACTAGCCATATTGAGCGCCTTCGAAATGGCAGACGTTGCTGAGGTGGGACTCTGCCCGTATCGACGCTCATATGAGCTCTGACGGTTGTGCATTGAATCAGCACGGGAACGTCCTGAAAGGACCTGCATGGCCTTGCCGACAGTGGCTTGAGGTGGTGATGGGTTCAACGGCGTTGGGCCGTGCACTGTTGATCGACGGGATAAGGCACCCGTCTGCGCACCTCTTGAAATGCCACCTTGAATGCGGGGGCTATGCGCCAGCTCGTCTGCAAAAGCGTTCACTTCCACCGCACGCTTTTCCACAACAACATAGTCTCTCTCGAAAGCAACATCTTGTGCTGCACGTTCTCTTTCTTCTCTCAATTTGTCCGCCTGTCTGTCCATCTGCGGAGAACCTTCAGAAAATGTATTCCGACCCCTCTGTCGTTCCATGGCTGTAAATGTAGCATTGCGATCAACAAGTTCTTGTCGTCCCGGGGCAGTTGCATGACTGACAGCACTAGGTCTTTGAGGGTAAGTCATCGGTGGCTCTTTGGGAGTAGATGGAGGCCTGTCCCCGCTTCCTATTCGGCGCATAGGTGTTGAAGTGGGGGGAGTGCCCAATCTCTGGTTTTGAGAAGGCGGCCGCTGTATGAGGGCATCATCCCCTTTTGGCAAATACGAAACCTCCCTTTCGCGCTCCGTACCGCCTGGCACAACGGCTCCAGATCGAGAATCGGGTCTCGGCGTTGATTCTGCTGTTTCTGGATCAGCAGGGGGTCCCCGGGGTATCGATGGCTGATCGTCGGCCACTAAGCCAGGAATAGGACTTGTGATCACGCCATTCTCAAAGAAGTCGGGAAAGTTTAATCTCTCAACGGGATTTCTCTTCAAAAGAGCCCGAATGAGCGCCTTGATTTCATCAGATGCCGGGTTCTCCTCGGGAAATTTGATCCTATCCTCTCCTTTCTCGATCTTGCGAAGCAGTTCCACATGATTTGTCGCTCTGAAAGGAGGCTTGCCTACGACCATCTCGTACAGCACCGTGCCCACGGACCAGAGGTCAGCTTTGGCGTCATACTTTTCGTACCGGAGGATCTCGGGAGCCATATATAAGGGCGAACCACATAATGTTTCCGCCAGTGATGTAGCAGGAAGTGATCGAGCGAATCCAAAGTCCGCAATCTTGAGAAGAGGTAGTGACTCGAGCCCGGTTGCAGGGTTAAAGGAATCTTCGCTGCCTTTGAATGGAACTACTTGAGTGACGCCACTGCGATAGGACGAGGGCGAAGGACAAAGCAGGAGATTTTGTGGCTTGATATCGCGATGAATTAGGTTCCGGTCACGAAGGAACTTCAGGGCGCTCGCCAGTTGCTTGAGGAAATGCCGGACAACAACTTCGTTGAGGGCGCCACCAGGAGGATTCGGATACTTGGCGATCATATCCCGTGTGTACCTATGATCTCCAAGAGTATCTCGACGCTTAATGAATAGGGATAGGTCGCCCAGAGCGCAGTATTCCATCACTAGATGAATGTGGGAGGTTGTTTCATGGCAGTCGATTAGCGCAACGATGTGTGGATGGTAGAGGCCTTTGAGGATATGAATTTCAGAAGACAAGTTGTCCTTCAACTTCTTATTCAACTTCGAAAGGTTGACCGACTTTATGGCGACATACGTGCGTGTTTTCTAATAGATTTTCCAAACAGATTAGCAAGAGATGCCGATGAATCAAGAAGGCATTATCATCATCAAGAGGAAGACGAAAGCAGTGAGTGATAAAGCTGAGCCCGGCAAAACTCACAGTATGAACACCCTGGTAAACCGTAGCAAAGCTCCCTCGGCCGATCTCATCCAGCCTTGTGTAGCGACCGATAGACATCTCGGGTTGAGGGGTCTCCCTCGACCTCCTCGAGTGGTGAGTAGATGTCATAGTCTGCAGCAACCAAACACGTCCCGTCAACTACACGACTACCTCAGCAGCAGCAGTAACGTCGACGGATGATGGGGGCCCATCAGGGGAGTAATAGAGGAGGTCTAATCTGCCAGTGAACCGGGAAGGCTGGAGTGAATAGGTAAAGATGGAATCGTCGGGACACGAGTATGGAAGGAAGAAACAGGAGGGTGAGCTAGGAGCCGTGGAACTGTAGCGGAAAAGGCTGAGCCGGCGGTTTGAGATCAAAGACCTGGACCGTACAAAACCGAAGGTCTCTTTATAATGATCAAGTTATCGCCGCGTTCTGGATCGAGATAGTTGAAGGCAAAGATGCAGAGGTAACAAAGCGGTGAGGGCGCAAGAGGAGGGAGGTGCAAGGTAGATAGGCGGCAAAAGGACAATGGTGGTTTGATAAGGAAAGCTTCAAGGTACGCAAAAGAGTTAGGAACACCAGAGCTGATGAGTATTCATGAAAGAGCCAGAGGCGTCCAAGTCAAAAGGCAAAAAATAGGCTGCGAAATCAGGTAGTAGAGAGCTAGGTGGGAAGCAGCTTGATCCAAGGAACGTAATGGCTGTCAACTATGGGGAGGGAAGAGTCGACAGTTCAGGCAGGCAGTAGTGGCCGTAGGAGGAGCGTGACCCAGCGATAACAAGATGTTTGGAGATAAACCTCAGGCAAAAGTCAGGTAATGTGACTGGGGGGAAGGTCTTAGGTAAGGCGGTCAGAAGGGCGGCATCGGATGGGAGATGATGAGGACCAATCAAGGCAGATGATGCAAGCGATAAGCAGGAGAGGCAATGGAGCTGGCTGGGGTACGTACTTGGCTTGGGTACCCTTAGGTACACTTAGGTAACAACAGTAGCACACCCGTGGACACGACTACCTTATTGTTAGGGACCGATTAAGTAGATGAGCGCTTGTGATGACAATGATGCAAATGATGCAATCTGACAAAAGAAAGGATGGGAATGATGAAGAAGATGAGCAATGGAGATGACTTGGGGATGATGATGAGGACGAATGACAAGAAGCGGCTAAACCGCTTAAGGTAAAATAGCTCCTTCCCTGATCCCCACCATGGAGATCCATGATCGACAATGGCCTGAGGCCGGAATGGCTACTTTTCGAAACGTACAATTTCCATGATTGTGTCGCCCTTGATATCGAGTTAAGGTAGATTTAGATCCATGGGTGCTACATGTATCTTATAATGTAGGTGCTCTAGCTCTAGGTAGAGCGGTCATTCCTACCTGTACAACTTTCGCAGGTATCATCTGTCATGGTCGTAAGTGACTCGACTTTCCCAAGTACCGTCACAAGTATGACTCAAGTCAAATGATACTTCGAAGCTGCGGTGCCTAGTTCAGGACACTTGAGGGTACTGGAACAGATAGTAAATCAAGTGATTCAATAAACTTACAGGTTCATGCGTAATTACGCAACTGTTCATCTGCTATTCTAATTTAAGTTACTGAAGTAACTGACAGCTTTCAGTACCTCATACTTGGTTGTGATGCACCCACTGCATCATTGGAATGGATGGTCAGGCTTCGCTCATCTCTGGTTCTCTGTTCGTGTATGATTCTAGACTTCTCCGTTCGGAGTAGAAACATTTCTCTAATGTAAATTGGAAAAAAAGGAAAACGCTGTCTATTGCGCCTCGTCTAAGCGCTTCAAATCAGGAGTCATGCATTATGCCTAATAACATCAATAGAGAAAAGTTCGTATTCATCAGTAGCTTCATATCCGGTGGTTTTGTGGCTCATTTCAAGTACTGGATTGCTCAGTGCTCTCTTCCAGCAAGCCAAATTGCCAGCGACAGAAATCGAGGGGATGATATAGTACGCGAACATTCGGACCTGTAGCTCATTCATCCGGAGGAGTCGCTTAAGATCAGATGAGATCCAGGTAATTAATCATAGACCGAGCCCTCTGACCAGCAACCAGAGTATAATCGGCACAACCACATTATCATTGCATCCAGTGAGAATCGCTTCGGTTGCACTGGTCGCACCAGCGGCCAGAATGGCTTTGAGAACCGTAACCGGCCAGAAATACTGCCGTGGCGCATCCGATCCGTTCATGGGCCATTGTCCTACCGCGAGCCAGATGCACGCGAACAAAAGCCCAGAGAATACGGCGATAACAAAGGCCACACTGCCCTCGATGGATTTTCCGCCTCCCCAGAACCACTTGCGCCGCCCGAATCGCCGGCCGATCAATGAGGCGGCCGCGTCTCCCATGCCAACGCAGATCACACCGCTGACCATACTGACATCCCTTGAGCTGATATTCCATCCGCTCCAGGGACTATCTCCCGTCCGCGGGACATCAGCCAAGGAAAGCCATAGAGGAATGGCGCATCCGATGAGGAGAAAGATATGAGAGATGATAACGGGGCCCCGATGGTCACGGCCGTCGACATAGGGAGCCAGGAAATACGTCAATGGCCGGGATATCGGCGGAAGTTGCGAGGCTCGGAAGAGGTCTAGAAGGAGAAAGACCGCCAAGACTAATGCGAGAGCCAGAGCACAGAATGCCGGGTCGACATAGACCGTCGGGAGGAACATCAACACCATCATGCCGTGGAAGACTTTGCGTCTTGTGTCTACTTCCGCGACGGACCTGAGCTTGAAGACGACAACCATACCTGTCAGAAGCACAAGGATGCAATAAGCAGTGAGGACAAGGCGCGTATTGGCTTCGCCAAAAGTACTTTGACGAATGTGCTCAACCCAGCCGAACGAGCAATATGCGTCGAGGCCCTCCTCGTCCAAGCGCGCCGGTAGAGATATCCAGTGGTCTAGATTCCACATAACGACCCTGAACCTGAACCACGATATATTACCGAACAGATAGCCAAGGGCCCATCCAAACGGCTCTTCTCCACCTAACGCTTGTTCACTAACGTATTTTCGAATGGGACCGAGGATTATAACTAGTACAGCAGCGTACACGTAGAGAGCATAGAGCCACTTGCGTACTTGAGCCTGCGGTACAGTCATTGTGAGGAATGACGAGAGCCCAGGGGCCATTGATCGCTTCCGCCTGCCACTAGGGGTCGTCCGGACTCGCTCGGTGCGCACAACTTCCTCGAAAGTTGAGATGGTGTGCCGCCGGCGGTGTGTGGCAGGCATATGCCGCTCAAATATCTCCTCTGTGCTCACTTTGTCCACGGCGGAGATAGGTTCTTTGATCGCGACATTGTTCCGAGTTTCCTGCATAGTCTTGCGTGATTTGAGCGAACGGCCTGGTGAGTAATCGCTATCCGACACGGCATCTTCGGACGAAGCGGTCCGACTCAGCCTCTGGCAGACCTTGTGGTCGATCAAATTCAAGATATTCTTCGGTGACCGCGGTGACCGCCATGACCTGGGGGTTCGCCTGAATTTCCAGGTGGGAATTCTTGCCAGCACCACCTCCCATCGAAGGACATGCCGACAAGAGGCGAAAAGGCAGAGGCCACCGAGCCAGAGGAGTGCCTTGAGAATCTCTGCTTGTGGTGAGGCCGCAAATACAAACAAATTAATCAAAGCGGTCGCCAGGAGCTGCAGTTCCGCTGGAAGGATACTAGTAGTCAACAGGAAATCTAGAGTGGGTATCAATGCTTGGTGCAAAGGAAAAACAAGAGTCAATAGCTCCGAATTAAGGCCACGAAAAGAGAGAGGTGTAGGTGTTGAGCTGTCTGCGGACCAATGCTCCGAAACCAATATGGGTATCAAAGTAATGAACCAATGAGGAATGCTGTGACCATTAAACAAACCGTGCAGAGGAACGACCGGGGCGGGTAGCGACGAGAGGCTGAGGAGGATGTTGGGTAGTATTAACGGCGGTCTATGGTGTGATAAGGACAACGAGATGAAGATCGGTATCAAGATCGGATAGAGGAGAGGAGCAGGCTCAAATTTCGAAGGAACTGTGAAGGAAAATAGTTTGGAGAACCGTAGGCGTCGTGTCTGGTGTAGAGGATACACCGCATAGAGCGCAGTCACAACTAGAGTATGAGCAAGGAGCTCTGTCCCAAATCAGTAAGCCATACTTAGCACCGACACGAGACAAGAGTTATTCACAAACCTTTTCTCCACGTCCGCGCAAGCGCTCTGGTGTCGTCCTGCCATAAGACAACACCACCTACAGAGAGCAACAACGCAGTCTCTGAAAGCCTCCGGAATACCTCAATTCGAGCCTTTCTGCGGGCCTTGTCTCTCAGCTTGCGTACTTCGGCTTGTGCTTCGTCTCCCGAGCCCCTTCGCGAACTTCGCGACGAGGTCGACCGAGTGAATGATGGCCACGTCCGCAACGTCGGATACCACACGTCACTATCGTCCACGCCATTCCAGCTAGATCGAAGCCCTTTGCGTGGCCGTGGGGGAGGGGCTGGAAGTCCTTTTAAGAGACCCGTACTCTCATCGTCCGCTTCTGTCCCGCTATCGCTGGAGGTCTTGGCCCATTGTGACAAGTTCCGGGACGGTCGATCGCTGTGATCTGTCAACACCGACGGTGTCTCAGCACATTTCAGGCCCTTTCGGTGGTATGGATGGGGTGAACGAGATAATAGCCGGAGGGGATCAGCAGTAGGAATGTCTAAGTCGCTGACGTTTCGGCCGGGAATAAGTCCGCCTTCCTCCTCGCTCAGCTTGGAGGCCATGGCGCCATGAATGGTTTTCGGGAAGGTCTCTATAATAACAAATACGTCATGTCGGTTTCGGAGTGCGGAGAGGGGTTACTGTTGTAAATCAAATTAGCAAATGCGCCATCTCGATCAAAGAAGAGTATCGCTTCTTTTCACTCACGCAATTGCCAGAACCGACAGATTGGCTCGTAGCGACTGAAGCGAACGAAGCGGAGGGTTGTCGCTTGTTATCGAGTTTGGACGCAAAAGGCGGAAGAGTCTACTATTTATTCGCCTATCACATGCTTTCGACTTCGACGATGTTCTTACGGTACTAGTCTCAGTAGTAGCACCACTCGAAAAGTACCTAGCACCAGTAGACAGGAGGGAAAATTGTACCACGAGATCGGTGGCTAATTCATATTAAAAGTCATGTCGTCCAGTTTTCTACCTTGTTGAGTCCGAACCCCTGTCAGCGGTTACATCCAGTCAACTGCTAGATTAGGTACAGGCCTGCTGTTGGTGCGCCACGCGTTTGTCCCAACCATTCTTGGCCGCACAGAACGAATGGAAGCAGGGATGCAAAGATAGGTTCAAAAATGCGGCGCAGCCGTAGATTACCGTTTCTTACTACTGACGTCTGATCACGCTTATCTCGGGTTATTATGCCCAATCAGCCTTCAAGGGCGCTCAACGGCATCCATCATGTGTGGTTGTATGCATGTTTTCGTGAGACGTCATTTCCTCGATTGATACTTCATCAATAGACCAAAAGGTCTCTATGGCTCAAGGCTCTGGAAAATAATACCAGCTGCCAGCCTGCTTCCCCTGTGACCCCAAACCGACTTGCAGGGGACGACTTCCCCTGGCCAGTTATCCAGGGGGAACGCCCCTGTGGTATAGATCACTGCGTGCGTTAAGGCCGGGGTTACCGTGTGGGCGGCTAGAATTTGCTGCAATGATGACTTCAGATCGCTTTCTGACTTCTCCATGTCGATTTCGATAATAGTGTAGCCCGCTTTCTGTTCTGTGATTGTCTTGGTGGTGCGTCCTTGATCTATTTCTTCTGCGTTCAATTCCAGTCCATCGCAGTGGTAGCCCAGACCTTGCCATTCAATATCACTGGCGCGAGGTAGTTCTTCGACCTGGACGGCTAGGAAGGGAGGAATTACTCCGCTCGATCGCAGCACTTCGAAGTTCGGTATCGGGGCCGAGACCCTCGCCTTGGTGGTTTGCTCCTCTGCCCTGCGTCCGTATTTGATGTCCCACACATCGAACGTAGACTCTTCTTCGTCGACCGATTCATCGTCGCGTTGGCTGTTCATGGTCTCCCAGATGTGCCAGGCTACTCGAGCCTTAGCAGCGATGTTTTCTGCACCTGTTATAAATGCAACTGCTCCAAGCCACCAGTCGACCTGCATGGCTGCACCGATCCTCCACATATGCTGAAGAGACAACACCGCCCGTAGAGAGTAGCCCGAAAGCCAAGATTGTTCCACCGTAGGTGCGCTGTCACAGACCATTTGCATAGAGGCCGGCTCTAGAGGGATCTGTCCAGCAATGTATACTATACGCTCGGCTCCTCGCAGAGGAATAGACATGGCTTGCGAATACGGCCCAATGTTGGCCGGTGCCCAGTACGAACGAGACTGAACATGAAGGCCTTGCCGGGAATCTCTGTCTCCCAAATCAACTATGAATGAGACCATGACATTCACGCCTTCAGGGAGCTCATCTCCGCAGGCCACTGTGGCTCTTGCCGGGGGTTAGGTTTCTTGAAAAGCGAGACGTAAGTGTTGTTCATCGATGCAAAATCGGCCATGGAACGGAGCAGCACTGTAGCGAAGATAATATCCTCCGTCGACCGGGGTAGGTCAGTGGAAGACTGCAGTATCGTCCTGATCTTCCCGGCAATGGCTTTCATCTGTTCAGCGGCCTCGGTGCCTGCCTCGGGCGCTGTGATGTTGCAGATGTGCCATATCCCGCCGTTCCTCAATTGGCGAGGCTCGCACTCGATACGTCCAGCGCTGATGGATCCAGCCTGCGCTTCACCTCCGTAGCTCCCTGAAACCGACCGCACCTCATCCAGAACTCGAGCAAACGCCTCATCCAGCAGCATCGGCCGTCTCACTGACTGCGGCGTGATCCCATCTCCCTCCGCAGCCGTCTTAGGCACGCATCTCGCCCCTTTCAACCTCACATACCCAACGCCACCCTCACCCGTCCGCACCTCCGTCTCGCAAACCTCAATCCTCGATCTCCAAAGAAACCCGGGCCCATCGAGCGCCAAACTCTCATACTCCCCACCCTCCCCCAGCACTGCGCCCCGCAGATCCTCCGGCGCAGCAAACCGCCTCATCCCATTCACAATACGCCTCCGCAACGCCCCATCCGCCGACGACACATCCCCCACAGAAACCCCTCATCCAACCCCCAGAAGCAACCTTGATGATCCGCGCCTCACACCCGCAAGCAGCCATATCCTCCAGTAACCCGCATCGCCCACCACAGACGACACCGCCGAGACCGTGCTCCGCTCCGCAGGGGCAGGCAGAACGGGATACTGCCACAGCCAAGCAAGCGGCACGAGCCCCAGTCTCGACGCGACATTCTCGATCCTCGTCCGCTGGTACGTGGACAAGATGGCACCGGCCGAGACGGCGTTCGCTTCGGGATGAGCCGCCTGTATCCGTCGCAGGAGGGGAACAAGCGACTCCGTCTCGTCCTGCAGGTGCTGCTTGTTTTCCTCGGTCGAAGACTCAGGCTCGTCGGCCATTTGGTCTGCGGCGTTGTGCCGGTAGATACGGGATGTATCGACCGCGTCGCCGATGATGGGGCCCGGTAGAGCGGGATGCCCAGGGCGGCTTCGTAGAGCGGGATCACGCTGTGTCCGATGGTTTGGTACATGAAGCTGTCGATGTCTTCTTCTTCTTCTCCTCCTTCGTCTTCTTTCTCCTCCTTGGGATGTTCATGATTACCTTTGGCGGCGGTACTGGGCGCCTGTCTGGATGTAGATGGGTACAGATTCGCTAGAGCGACGACCTTGTGTCCGTTCCTGATGCAGTGTAGGATGGAGTAGAGCGAGTCTTTGCCGCCTGATATCAAGGCAATCACGTTTAGCTCTGGTGTTGCTTGGGGAGTCTGTGTTGGTGGCGACATTGTCGCTGGAGGTTGTCCCGCTTTGCTTTGTAGCGCAAGTGAGGGGCGCATCCAAAAGAGCACCCTCCTTTTGTCTTTACGTCGTCATCAGACGTGCTCCTTCTGATTTGAAACGTGTTATTCAGTGCGGGGAATATGAGGTGGTGAAGGGAGCGCCGACTACTTCCAACCAGAGCGCTAGAATTGAAGTGCCGCATTTTGCAAATTTTGAAAAACTGGATCTACGAGAGGTAAACATGGGAGTTGCCCGATCTCAGGTGTTGACCATACAACAATTGACGCCCACACAACAATGTTTATGAAGGTTAAATAATAAATGTCAACCTTGGCAATATGACCTCTAATTTTCTCTTTGCTGGAGTACTGTCTCAGTTTAAGGCAGGGGATTCTTTCACCAATTCTTCAGATTACCACTAGGTCTACCACTACAAATGGTATGCGCAACATATTAGTCCATAGGGGAATAATGCAAGGTATAAATAAGTTCAGTAACAGCGAGGGAGATAATACAAACAAGGGGTATGAGATGGGTGATGAGAAATGACTGCTAAAGGCAGATTAGATGGTACATGTGGCCAGCACAGTAATGAAGGGGGAGAAACGAAAGCATGTGGAAAAAGATATTACATCGAATAAGTCACAAAGAATGCAAGATGAAAGAACAGCATATGAAAAAGATGAACAGGCGAAAGCTGGAAAGGCTGTGGGCCTCCAATGTTTCGCAGTGAAGAATCAATAAAAAGACAGAGAAGGAGAAAGGTGAGAAAAACGAATAGTGCCCAAGTCAACCGTCCGCGCCAGAAAATGATAGGTATCGTCATGCGCTCTATTGATTTTGGTCCAGTACCCTGGACTCCCAAGTGCGCCCAAGCTCGATTGCTGTCCAGGCAGCCCAAAGCCTCCGTCCTTGTAAGAGCAAGGAGCTCGTATGCCTGGAACCTTCCCCCTCTTATAAACCACCGATGCAAACAGCCCTGACGCCAATCCAAGGAAATGACCAAGCCAGATCCACCAAGCCCGGATGTGGAAGAATGATTAGGAAAGTATATTAAGTATTAGGAGAGCTCCTGGTCTCATCGCATCATTATAGAGCTTCTAGTAGTCTCGCGAACGGAAGTTCAGACGTGGTCCTCCCGTCGGCGCTTCTTGGCAGGCCGCCCACCGACGGACGACGTGTCTGAAATAGTTCCGTCAGATGACTCGCTCGTTGTCGACTTGCTCGTCGCGGCGTTGGCGGCCTCGTACAGAGCGAGGCCCAGAGCCCGCGGCTCAGGCTCATCGAACGCGGGTTGGGTGTTCGAGCTGTTTGTGTCGATAACGCCCATCACAATGGAACCACCGCCATGAGTCCTGGCATGCTGAGCAAGGTTGTCGCTGCGGGAGAACTTCTTGCCGCACTCATGGCATTCAAACGGCTTGTCCTGAGTGTGAAGCGAGCGGTAATGACGCTTGAGATGCTCCTGACGGCGGAAACGACGAGAGCAGAGCGAGCAGACAAAGGTCTTCGAGGGGTCGTCGGTCAAGGATTGCTTGCGACCACGACGGTTGACTGAGACAGGAGCAGCCGGGGACTCAGAGCTGGATGTATTGGCGGTTGAGTTCTGACGCGAAGAGGCAGTCGACTGCTGGATTGTGGAAGTCGTCTCAGAGTGACCAGAGCGGCTGGTGGCGGAAGCCTGAGTCTTCTTGGCAAGGCTATCCGAGCTGCTCTCCGACGTGCTGGCCCTCTTAAGCGACCTGCGAGAGGTAGCTCTCTTCTTCGAGCTCATTTCCTCAGTGTTCTGTGTAACATCACCTTCGGCTGCGAGAAGATCACAGGACTCCACGGAAGGAAGACCGGATTGGGCAAAGGCCTCGTGGTCGTCCAAATCTTCCAAGCTGCGTTCACTCAAGAACTCGTCTTCATCAAGGAGGTATGTTCCCAGACGTTGCCGCTTATCTCCCAGGAAGTAGGTGTTTCCAATGGGGTGGAAGTCGACGAGCTTGTTGGCAAACTCGTCCTCCGAATCAAGGTCGGAGAAACTGTCGAAAGTGGGCAATGAACCGAGGGGATCCTCGGAGGAGCTGGAGAATGAAGGCGACAAGCCCTCGTGAACCGGCAATGTCACAGTTGCGCTGCCCAAAACAACCTTAGGTTCCTCCTCATTGCAGGAAAGAGTAGGCAATGGCGGTAGCTCTGCAGGTGCTCCGACTGACGACTCGACGGTAAGCTGTCGAGGATCGCAGAAGTCGGATCCAGAGGGCTCAACTGAGAGAATTGACTGAGAATGAGAGATGAACGTTGACGAGTCCGGAGAGGGCGATGGAGAAAGGGATGGGCAGGACCCATGAGCCGATAGGAGATCTGAGCTCTGGCTGGCGGTGAGGGATGGAGGTTGGATAAACACTGGAACGGGTTCAGTTAGCCCCTGCTTAGCCCTAGATTCTTCCCAAACACAGTCCCCGCAACATGATCTTTCAACACCTGCTTTCAATGTACAAAAAGTTTAAAAAGGGAGCAAAACACTAGACTCAACACCAGAAAATGTTTAACTCACCAGGTGTCAAAGGAGGCGAGTCAGACCGCGACCAGCCCGTGTTGGCCAGGAGCTCACAGTGAACATCGCTCTCGCAACCCTCCTTCACCCCTTCCACCTTCTCAAATGAGAAGAAGCAATCGTTGATCGGGGTATGAAGAGAGCCATTGCTGGACGGGGGGCTGCTGATGGTGCTTCCAGATGTGGACAGAGGTGGGGTCGAAGGGAACCCATAGAAGTCATTGCTGACGAATCTCGTGTCCAGAGGCATGAGAACTGGGGAGTCCTGCTGCACGATGATGGTAGGCTTGAGGTGAGTTGGCTGTGGGGAGGCAATGGGAGTCATGCTCAGGGCACCTCGAAAGGCATTGGTTGTGGCCATCTGATGCATGTTCAACATAGGTTGAGCAGCGTAGACGGGCTGTTGTTCTGGCATGCTATGCTGTTGTTGTGCTTGTTGCTGTGGGAAAGGCGGCACTTGTCCATAGTACTGCATCTCAGACGGGTGACTGGTGAAATGTTGCTGCCGCGATTGCGACTCTGTTGGGTAGTATGCAAATGATGGCTGTCCCTGCACTGGGGTCTGTGCCATAGTGTATGTTGCGTCCATTGTTGCGGGTTACTGTGTCTGACTTTGGACAGGTGTTAGTTATTATACCGCAAGTCAGGTATCAGTGGTGAGTCAGGAAAGCCACGAACAGATGATGAAGTCGACCAGGACTCAGAGTAGATGAAGCTCTGATCCTTGCCTTGCTGTTTGCTGATTATGCTATACGTATAATTGACCTGTATGTGTCCTCCAGTGCGTTGTTGGCGATGTCGCAGCTCGATGAAGAGTGACGAATATTAGGCGACAATACTGGAGATGAATGAGTGTATATCGAGGGAGTGTCTCTTCTTTTGAATGAAGGAATGGACTGGAGGGATCGACAGTTGGATCTTCCTTGCCAGCCTTGGATACTGATGTTATATCCAATGTAGACGAGTGTCTGAAGTCTGTTAAAGAAAGACAGGGACCTCTTTTTCGATACGAGCCAAACCACAAGATCTATCTGTATGATTTGGAACGCTCTCGATCAAGGCACCGGGAGACAGATAAATGACACGGGAACAGAAAGAGAGATATAGGAAAGGGAAAAAAAGAAGGCAAAAGGTTAAGTAGTAAAGGAAAGATAAAAAGGAATGGCACGAAGAGAATTAAGACAGAACCTAGAAAGGGAAAAAGTAAAAAATAGTTCAGAAATCCATAGAGAATAAGAAGAAGATCAATGCAATGGAGACTAAGCTAGAGTACAGTACAGAGAGGAAACTGAAAGTCGCGGGGAAATAACGAGAGACAGGCCAGGCCGATAACTATGGGACGAGGAGCGACGGCTAGAAGGGGTGGGCAGCAGAGTGGGCACTGGGCAGTGGATAAACTGAGCGACTGATCTGCCTGTGCTACAGCTTCGTAGCGCAATTGGTAGTGGCTTCTTAGTCGTACTTTTAGTTCTAGTATTAAAGTACTTAGTTTCTGTCTGGAGGTGGTGCACATGTGGGAGCAGTGGCTTGTACTGAGGTGGTGCCAGAAAAAATAATCCTATCTTAATAATTTATTAGCAGTGCTACATAGAAAATAAAATGAAATATATTAAAACAAAATAAAAGCAATTTTAAAATACTGTACCATTATTAGATATTATTATTATTATTAGCAGTATTTTTATCCCACCCTCCCACTCCAAAGTTCCACCACTCCTGATAAAATACCCAGGAGATATGGTGTCATAACGGGACGTGAACCAGACTCTTTAAATGATTCTAAATTTTGTTCCTACGCAGGAAGTATGCGGTATGCGTGAACCATTAACAAGGGTACCTGATCCAGTATTATTATTAGGTCGGGAGGGTACCGTGCTGGTTTCCAAACTTTTCTCGCCTTCGGTTGCAACTCTACAATCTGGGGCTGGAGATATGCACGTCGCAGCCTACAGAAGGTCAGAAATGCAAAACTCACTTTTCCTTCAGATAAAATGTCTACGGACCAGTTACAATTGAAACCTCAGAAGCGGAGACCCGTGGGAGGTGGGACTGGTTCTTCCCATATAGGTAGGTAGGCAGATAGTCTGAGGGTTTTCGCAAGAGTCTTTTCGTCCTCGCCATCGCGACGGGAAAAGATAATGATAGTTCGCCATCTCCAACTGACCCAGATACTAAGTTGCAATACAAAATGTTGTGCTCTTCCTCAATTCGGACACTGATCTGTAAGATCAACTACCCTAGACAGACTGGTCGGAGAGTCAGCGACGGATCCCGGTCTGTAGACCTGTACTAAAGAGCAATCTGCCCCACCAACTTCGGCCGGGGAACCCAAAAAGGTCTTAGTGAGTGGCGCTCAAGAGCACGAGTAGGAAACATTAGCTGGATTTGGGCCAGTCCCAGGCCCCGTTGCGAATGGAAAGTTGGCTTCGAGATATTAGTACGTAGTTAGATTGTTACAGGAGATACATGGTACTAGAAGCAGAATTGAGAGAGGTGGAAACGAGGGTGTATCCTACCGGGAAATGCGGAGACTTCTTACTTGCTGTCTTTCCACCAAGAGATGGACGCCTTGTCTCACCGTACACAACAGCCAACAGAAGGGGCGATAAATACAGTTAGTGGTCGGCAAATACCGCAGCGGCGCAGCACTGTCTGAGGGCAGTGGAGGGACCTAACCTATGGGACTTGAAATGTTGACGAACGCCGTTGTCACCGTGATAGTCTTGTCTCATGTAGAAGTATCTGATGGAGATCAATGATTGGCGTGATCAGAAAAATTGGACTGTGAATTGCCACTGTCCCCGAGACCTCAGCTTCAATGACAGTAGAGAGATACGCAGTACTACTGATGGGATTGGAAATGCTCATATTGTCTCTCTCTCACTCCCAAAATAGTTGCCTCCAGTAAAGAACGATAATTCGGTTCTCCTTCAAGCCAGCTGACGCGCACATGCCGATACAATCATTTCTACGCCCACCTCTGAGGAATAACGTTTTCAGCTTCATGTGGTTTTTTCTGCAAGAACTGACTTTGAAGGTCCCATTTGCCATCCTTAGCCTCGTTTTAACAGAGCACGCATCAACTTCAGCTTATCACTGGACTATTTCCCATGGGTTTGGTGACTGGGAGCGCTGGGGTGCAGCCAGTCACAGAAATCCTGGGAGGATGGGTTAAGTGGGGGCGCTCTTCCTCATGCGCAACTTTGCAGGAACTAAAAGGTGATGTGGCAGATTGGCGGAGTGGCAGTAACTCTTTTTGACGCCGCCCTGATACTGGTTAGCTAGAATGCTAGATAGAAAGATAGTAGTAGTGATAACCAAGGCTTTACCTAAATTGTTCAGGGTGGTCCATCCCACAGATTTGAGCCGGCCAACCTATCAGGAGATGGCGTGGTTCCTTTTCCACTTCGATTCAACCAGAAGTTGGCGAGACTAAGTGCGCTCGAGCTGCATTGAAAGCCAATAGACTCTGCCCGTGATGGGAAGAATTGACTCGCCCGGCTAAGCTAGACGGCCCCGCTGGCATATCCCGTCCGCCATTTGGGGAACTCCGTCATTCCAATCAAAGAGACAAAACAATCCACAAGCAGATCAAATGATGAAAAATGGTAAGTTGATAGTGTTCAGAGAACAGTAGATCAGCATTGCAAAGTTTCAACGGGATCAGCAAGTGGTTAGTTTGACGCTGTTACATAAGGGCAAGTCATCATCAAGCCAGTCGCTAATCAGCATCAATTCCCCGTGTGCAACAGCAATCTGCCAATCTAAATTTCGGAGCTCTGCTCTGATTGGTTCAAATTGTGATCACGTCGCTCAGGACTTTCCTTGGGTTTCGGGAACGAACAATTGCGCAGTCTGCTTCCCGAATGACATGAACCCAATTTACGTCAGTAATATAAAATGTACTCTACCTTAAGAGGCATGATTGATTATTTAGAGCAGTAGTGAAACAGTAGCGAACAGGGTCCACTGCCGCGGAGGTGATGGGATGTTCTTCCAGACCGACATTCATATCATTATATTTGCTCTGTCTCTGAGAGAGGCAGGAGGCATGTATGATTGTGTGTACATGCATTCAAACTACGTCAATATGCAATCCATATTTCACATGCCGCAGTCAGATCCCGAATTGTTTAGGAAGGAATACTACTGAGATCATCCTGAAACACCACGGTCAATAATTACTTTTATTTAATGGAGAACATGTAGATAGGCACTGGTGTGCATCTTATTATATGCTAGCCAAGGAATAGTCCGCCAAAGTATTGAACCTACTGCGCTACGTTTTCTCCGTATGGTAAGAATTGTCGGTTGTCGACCACTCTCGAGATTGATTTTCTGGGGAAAGAGAGAACTAGAAGGCCGGACAAAAACTTTCTTTTGGAGTCTGAAATTTGAGAGGTGGTGATAGGCAGGTAGACACATTAGTTGTAATTGTAAGGTGGTACATCATGTGAACAAAGAGCTGCCTCGGAAGTGGAGTGCTTGGGCCTCAGGCACTGTTAGCCTAAGTTTGGGATTCGACCTGTTCAACGGTAGATGGATCAAGTTTGGTCGGGCTACTGCAGGAACAAATGCGGAGAGGCCTTGGAAAGAAAAACATACATATGTCAACCCTTGCTTGACCAGATGCAAGCTCTTGCTTTGTTCTGTGATATCTATACATGGGTGACTAAGGTATGTATAGTAACATAAGTACTTATCCACTCATACTCTTTGTCTGTATGTACCTCTCTAGATGTAGATCAAAATGTGACTGTCAAATCAATGATCTCTGCTAAGCTGCCTCATTATTCCAAATCCTTCTCGTGATTGACCCCGCGCATCTAAAGAGACTGTCTTCGGTACCGCGACACTGCCGCGAAACGCTTGATGTTTGCTTCCTTATCAAATACAGCCACTATCTAGCCACCGGTATTGAATGTGGAATCTGAAAGTTGATACATAAAAGATCCGCATTCACCGCCTCCACCTTAGAGAGCTGTCATGGACTCATGATAAACGCAACTGAAACATGATGGGCGCAGGATTAGTGTTTAGGGCTCGGATGATGAAATGATTTGCAGTGCAGAGCAAAGTGACAGGACAGAACCACCAAGCAAGGGACTCCAGAAGAGCTGTCATATCTTGATGCCGAAACTGACATATATTTTGGATCCAGTGAGGAATGCAAAGCCAACAAATCGCAAACCCACCATTTGCCACCCGAGACAGTACAGACTATTACTCCGTAGGGGAGTCCCACATGCCTCTTCTCCAAGGGTACCTGACATATCTGGGTAACACAAATGAAAGTGCTGGGCCGAGTTTCCGGTTGATTTCTCAAGTCTACCTTATGATTTGAGATTTCCCACGTACAAACCGCACAGTCGGGTGCCTTACTGACTGAACTGATTGAGAAATGAGACGCCAGGCTCCCAAGGTAAATGCTGGACATCCATTGATGTTCATTGGATAATCTAAAGATAGAATCTGATTTTATTGGTCGACCCCTGACCTTTAATGACGGAAGGAAATGCTTCCGGGGGCCGGAACGGTCCCCCGGCTGTTACCCAATTGCCAGCGATAACCTGACTTTCAAACATGGGTCAGAAAAGGGTCCTAAAAGATGATACAAAACCACTACGAAAGCGATAATTCTGGTAGTATCTTGCATCCGTCATCGATGCAAACGATGCCAATTAGGCCTCGATATTAAAATCTCCACTGCAATTTGGTTTAGGGTCGGTTGTCAGCACTATGGGCTCATTTAGATTGACAGTTTACCCACCTTGGCCTCCTCGTCTATGCATGGAAGCTGGACCAATTCGTTCGAGAAGATATCGTCGAAGGCTCCGGAGCAGTACTAGCTTGCTAGTATGCCTCTAGATTTCACACTCAAATTCGAGAATAAATTGGTCTGTATGGGCTAGTCTATGGAGACCTACTTTCAGCGTCTTCTACGATGTTGACCGTCG